AGGAGATTGAGAAACTCAAACGAATGCAGCCGGCCACAGGCATTACTTTCCTAGCCACCCCCATCTCCGTCATCCTTCCCATCCCCCCTCCCACCCCCCCACTCCCCATCCTCCACTCCCCATCCCCCACTCCCCATCCCCCACTCCCCATCATCCCACCCCCGTCCCCCACTCACCTGGCAGAAAAGCTTGGCCTCCATTGGATCAACCCTAAACACATGCAGCATGCCACCACCACCACTGCCTGCACCTCCGCCTCTCCTCCACCACCCTGCCGTTCTACACCCCTGCCAGATCTCTGCTCCTCATCACCCTGTCCCCCTGCATCCATGCACCCTTTGGCTGATGCATCCTGCTCGTTCCCCTGCCGCTCTCCCTTCCCACCCACTCCCTCTGCTGCAACAACCCCCCAGTCCAGCCCCCGGCTTCTCATGCCTTAGAATTTCTCGTCCGTCCTCCGTCCCTGCCACATCAGCAGCTTGCTTTTCTAAGCCAGTACCCGTAGTGCCACCAGCACCACCATCAGCACCCATAGTGCCACCAGCAGCAGCAGCAGCACCACCACCACCACCATCAGCACCCATAGTGCCACCACCACCAGCAGCAGCAGCACCTGCCGCCTTCGCCTCGTTCTTTTCCTCGTGTGCATCAAATTCGCCGCAATATGTACCCCTGCCACTCACCGCAGCAACAGTGGACTCAGCGAGGCCTGTAGCACCCTTTACTGCCACCACCAGCAACAACAGCACCAGCAACAACCCCACCAGAAACACCACCTGAGGCATCGTTACAGCAGCAGGCATCAGACGCAGCAGCAACGTCGGAAGCAGCAGCGGCATCAGAAGCAGCAGCAGCAGGGGCAGCAGCAGCATCCGAACCAGAGGTGCCATCCCCCCCTCCCCCGAGACTCTGAACTGCAGAGCTGCAAACGCCTCTGCTGCAGCAGCAGTCTCTGTGCCTGTAGCTGCCGTCCCAGTCTCACTGCCCTCTCTCCTCCCTCCTCCTCCTCCTCCTCCTCCTCTCCTCCTCCTCCTCCTCCTCCTCCTCCTCCTCCTCCTCCCATTCCTAATTCCCCCCCTACACCAGCATCTGCTGCATTACATACCGCTGCGGCTGCTGCCACAGCGGCAGCAGCAGCAGACGCAGCCAGGTTGCCATTCACCGAGTGCTGGCAACAACAGGCCCACCGCTGCCCCTAACCCACTTGCACACCCATTTTTACCGCCCCCCGCAGCCCCGTCAGTAACCGGCCTGATGCCTCCGCCCCAAAAGTGCTTGCTGCTGCCGCAGCAGGCTCAGCATCAGGGGCGTTGGGCAGAGGGAAAATGAGGTTACCAGCGACAGGTTTATGGGGAGGTGTGGTGGAGGGGCAGCAGGATTGGGGGGAAGGAGCCTGCAGCGGTAGACCTCTTCCCCTGGCGGGTGAATCTGCCGGCACTTTGCCTGGTGGGGGGTTGGGGGCGGGGAAGCAGCAGCGGGAAGGAGTGCAATCAGAGGCGCCTCACAACACCGTCTGCCGCGGCGGTAAACCTCCTTCCCTGCTGGGTGAATCTGCCGGCACTTCGCCTGGTAGGGGGGTTGGGGTGGGGGAGCATCAGGAGAAGGAATGCAATTAAAAGGCGCCTCACAACGCAGCCTGCAGAGGCAAACCTCCTTCCCTGGCGGGAGAATCTGCCCGCACTTCGCCTGGTTGGGAGGCTGGAGTGGGGGGTGGGCGGGGAGCATCGGGAGAAGGAATGCAATTAGAGGCGCCACACAACGCGGCCTGCAGAGGCAAACCTCCTTCCCTGGCGGGTGAATCTGCCGGCACTTCACCTGGATGGGGGTGGGTGGAGCATCAGGGAAGGGCATGAAGACATCAGAGGCGCCCAGAATGTGGCCTATTCAGACTAGGAATTGCCGGGATGCTGGAGTGATTGAGACATATATGTGGCCCATGGGGAGCCAACAATCGCTCAGTTGGTGAGGGTGGGTGGAGGGTGGGTGGAGGCTCACAACACGACCACTCCAGAAGCACCAACTCACCATATGAGCTGAGCACTTCCGTAGGGCGTCGCCGTCGGTCGGACTGTTGGAGTGATTGAGTTGAGGCACGTGTGGCAGATGAAGAGACAAACAGGCGGCGAGGGTGGAGGCTCACGGCCTTGACAGCACCTCAAAGGCACAACTCGCCCGGTGGCTCTCTCTCTCTCTCCTAGACCGTGTGTTGGTTGGCATACATCCGACAGGTGTTGCAAATGAAGGGGCATTCAGGTGCGTGGCACTGACTCACGAACAGGTATCTCCCATAGGCTGGGTTGTGTGTGTGGTAGCTGGAGTTCTTTGAGCCGAGCCGACTCAAAATGCGTACTTGAGACCCTTGTGGCAGACCAAGTGGCTCAGCTTCACCAGCAACACGCGATGACTTTTGAGTCGACTCAAAAGGCAACACGCTTCAGGCTGTAAGGCTGAAGGCTCACAAGCTTGATAAGAATCTGAGATACGTTTTTTCTAAAACTCTCAGAAATTACTCCATCCAAGGGCACTGGCTCACCACATGTCTCTCGTAGGCTGTCAGACTGTTGGAGCATTTGAGACACCCGTCACAGGTGAACAGACAAGGCTAGCTGCTCCGAATTTGACAGCACCCTAACCAAAGGCACCAACTCACCAGGTGCCGCTCGTATGCCGTTGGACTGTTGGAGTACTTGAGACACGCGTCACAGATGAACAGGCGGCCGCTTTTGGTAAGGTGGGGCGGGTACGGGGAAAAGTACCTGCTCACAGAGGATGCATGAATAGTGTGTGTGAATGAAGGGTGCCTTTGAGAATTCTCAAAAACACCATACGGGGAGAAGGACCTGCGCACAGAGTATGCATGGATAGTGGGCACAGAGTCTGTGACAGTTGCCTATCAATGAAGGGGCTGTTGATGGGGGTTGATTGGTGTCGATGGGTGCTGACAGGTTCAACGACCCGCACAGCGTACTTGAGACAATTGCCACAAATATATAGATGGCCGTTTCTGGTGAGGTGGGGTGGATGTGGGGAGAAGTAAGCACGTTACAATGGCATGCATGCGTGAATGCATGCTTCTGATGAACATGCTACCTGATCACATACATGCACCCACACATGCACACACACATGCACGAACACATGCACACACACTTGCGTACACATGCACGCACATGCACACACATGCACACACATGCGCATACTCGTGAAACGTCAAATACACAAGGGACAGATCCAAACACAGATCATAGATGTAACAATCGACAGATTCCAAACAGTATATTCTTAGGCCTCGAACCAGAAAACTCTGCTCACCGTTTGTCGATCTCGTGTTCGCCAATCTCAACCATCTCAACATTCTTCACACTCATCTGCCGCTCCAAAGCACCCCCAATTCTCACCACCTCCCCCAGCCACTGCCATGCCAGCCTCTCGCCCTAGTTCACCAGCAATCCCACCCACCACTCACCATGTGTCGATCTCGTGTTCCCCAATCTCCACCGTCTCAACGTTCTTCACTCTCATCTGCCGCTCCAAAGCAGCCGCATCTTCAGCTGCGTTCCCACCTCCCCCCTCCTTCAACCTCCCTTCCCTTCCCTTGTCTTCTGCTCCATCCCTGTCCCGCCTCCCACTTCCACACCCACTCCCTACACCACCACCACCACCACCAGAATCTGGTTCCTCCTTCACCCCTGCAGCGGCCCTGGAGTCAAGCTTTGTAGGCGCCTCAAGTATCCCCTCTTGCCACCCTGGAGCAGCAGCAGCAGCGCCAGGTGCGTCTAGTCGTCTCCTCTTGGGGCCTGTTAAGACTTCAGGCAAGCAGGCAGGCAGAGGGGAAATGGAATTCAGCAAGTGCTTTAGGCGCCTCAAAAATCCCCTCTTGCAGCCCTGGAGCAGCAGCAGCAGCAGCAGCAGCAGCAGCGCCAGGTGCATCTAATCGCCTCCTCCATTCAGGAGGCAGCGGGACAATGAGAGCACAACAAACAAGTATGGGAGCACACATGCCGCGGCATGCCGAGACAATGCCACAACATGCATTGTCACTCACCAACAGCAGCAGGAGAGTGGGCCTTTGTGTCCACATCAGCAGCCAGGTCAGCACGCCTCTTGGCGTCCACGTCAGCATGATGCTCTTGCATGTGACTTTGTAATGGCTTTTGCTCATTCTCATGATGGTGGTCATGCTTATGGGTATGGTCATACTTATGGGTACGGTCATGCTTATGGGTATGGTCATGCATGTGATCATGCTTGAAGTCATAATCATGGCTATGCTCATGCCCATACGCATGCTCATGCTCATGCATGGGGGCATCCATGGTGGTCCATGGCTCCACTCGGCTCTCCCCCACCCACTCGTCCAGTCGCTTGTTGTCTGCATGCAGCAAGAGGCGGACATGGGGGAAGAGAAGGAAGGCGGGAGAGAGTGGAAAAGGTGGGGGGAAACCTCCACTCGGCTCTCCCCCAACAATTCGTCCAGCCGCTTGTTGTCTGCATGCGTTGAGCAGCGGACCTGGACCATCCACAAAGTCAGTTATTGAGGCACCTGAGAACATCATTTTAGAGCCTCAGCACTCACATTCCACATAGTGTATATAGTACTCCACTGACGAAGCATCCACAAAGTCAGCTCCTTTCCTCGCCAGCGCCGCGCCTGCAGCCGCCGAACCTACTGCTTCCGGGCCTGCTGCTACTGAACCTGCTGCCAAGCCAGCCCCCTTCCCATCCCTACCAGCAGCACGTCTGGTGGTAACCACCTCTCCAGCGTCTGCAGGGAGAATGCGGGATAGAGAGAGGGGTGCTCAGCTTATCAAGGGTTCGGTAACTTCAAGGTGACTTTTGAGACAAACCTAAGGTCACATCCGGTGGTTACCACCTCGCCAGCGTCTGCAGCGAGGGAGGATGATTCGTCAAGCAAGGGTAGGTGACTCTGTTGCATTGAGGTGGCATTTGCGGATTGTGTGGGTTGGTGGACTGGGTGATTAATCTGGGCTCACGGTCACATGACCAGTCGTAGCCAGAAAAACAATAGAGAGGGAAAATAAGATAGTGATTTTAGAGTCGACTCAAAAGCCATTAATAATGTGTGGGTGGGTGGGCTCAGTGCTCACGGTCACGTGACCAGTCGTAGCCAAAAGAACAAGAGAGAAAAATAAACATGAACGAGAGGAAACGACTCACGGTAGAGGTTGTCCCAGGAAGCGAGGCACGCCACCCGCGACCCCTCAGGGAGCACCGCTCGCCGGCTGGACACCATCTCGCACAGCCGTCGCTTGTGAGGATCGTAAGCAGGTTCTGCAGAGCGTAATACGCTTCTTCCTATCCGCCGGCCGTCGCAGAACCTTCTGTTATATTTGATTCCTAAATTTGGCCGTTTAAACTGGCTCCTGCGACCAGGCTATTCACGCATGTCAGACGTTCAGGCTCCCTGATCAATCATGTCTCATAGGGAAAATCAGCACAGCTCTGCGACTGAATGCGACTGAATGCGACTGAATGCGACCTCTCACTGCGATACCCGGAAAAGCGAGTTATTCTCAGCGGGTACTCAAAGGCGACTGTTTCGGAGAAGTGACGCGGATTCCTTAAGAGTAGACGTGGAAGACGACCAACGGTATCCGTCAGGAATATCGGACGAGAATTGGACGAAGAAAGGTCGGGTTATCAGGGTACTACACTGACGAGTCTAGTAGGAAGCTGAGGGCGAAGGATAGATGCCGGCTTATGAGCGACGGCTGACAACTAAGAACTCAGGGCTCTCGCGGGGTCTAGTCTAACAGAGCAGCATGCCTGCAATGCCGAGTTTCACTCCATGCTTGTTTCGCAGACAGGTCTCGTGCAGATTGGAGGGAGTGACAAAACATTAGCACTAGGGGCGCGTTGCAAAACTAAAATGCAGCTGTTTTCACTTTAAGAACGTTCTGAAATCGTTTGACAATCGTATGAGGATCCCAAACCATGTTACTCTAGCCAAGTTGTGTGAGACGGAGTGTAATTGGGTTGCAGAGATCACAGAAAACCGATTTCAAGGTCCATCCGACTGAACTGAACTGAGATGACTTCGTCACTACTTTTTGACCCGACGCCGTTAATGAAAATATGCTTTGGTATAGCTCACTCAGACAACCAGAGTGGCCACTTGGAATCTGGGGAGGAAACGACAGATCTACACCCGAATCGAAATGTACCCGACAGAAACGCACCCGAATCTTCGAATCAACGATTTGCTACAAAATCGCCCAGCCCTGACACAGTCAGCCACATGCTGGGCGATGTATACGTACGAGTAGTTCTGCGCAGCCGACAAAACAATAAACTCATAGGGACCCAGCTTCGGACTCGGGGTGGCATCAAACCTAAACTCGAAAAAGGGCCGCGAGTCTAGGGTTGATGCCATCTCGAATGGCATGTCGGGCCCCTATGAGTTTTATTTATTTGCCCAAAACGCTGCCCAAAATGTCATTGTCCATTTTGGCATTCTGCCCAATTGCAGCGCAACGAATTTTGCTGGAAAGTTTTGTCGCGAATGCACAAATCTACACGTCAGTCCGAAACAGTTGACTGCGCATGCGCAAGAATCTCGCCTCTCATTGGCGCGAAATATTCGGGTGCATTCCTGTCGGTTGTATTTTGATTTGGGTGTAGATCTGTCGATTCCTCGAATCTGGGAGCAAGCATTCTGACACTAGAAAGAAAAAAACGCCTGATAGTTCAGCGTCCTCGTTAGAACGTGGCTGTTCGCGCCAAGGACGAATATTATAGAAAAAACTTAAACACGTCCGTCATTCTTACAGCTCAAAGGCTAATGCAACTCATCCAATTTTAGCATCAAGGCTTGCTATCTCTCAACCAACCACCTGTCCAGCTTGCTTGCACATACGTCAACCCAACTCCATCTTGGATACGTCAAACTCTCAAACTCATAGTTCATCCGAAAACCTTGCTGCTGTTCCCTGTACGCTTCACAACCTAAACTGTGACCAGTGATCCCTCCGCTAGGAGCATGAACTTGCGGCCATGTACCATACAATTTTCTACCTCCGGGTATTACTAGGAATACTGTGATGTAGTAGTAGGTAAGTATTATAGCAGTAAAAACAACTCCCTTCTCACTTCACCTGTACTTGCCTGACCAAGTGCACCACAACTCCCCATACCCCATCCCTATGGCATGTCTTACCCTCCTCTCCCCTCGCTACACCCCTCCTATTTCCTTACCTTCTCTCTCCCCATTCCTCACTCCACCTGCACCTGCCTCGACAGGTGCACAACAACCTCCCCATACCCTATCCCTGTGACACCCCTTCAATTCCCCTCCCCTCACTACACCACGTCTACCCCCTCTTCCGACCTCGTCTCTACCCCCTTCAATCCACCTCTCTCCTTCACTTCACCTGCACCTGCCTCGCCAGATGCACCACAAACTCCCCATACCCCATCTCATGGCAACCCTTCAATCCCTCTCCCCTCACTACACCACTTCTACCATCTCTTCTCACCTCGTCTCTACCCCCTTCCCTCTCCCCAACCTCACTTCACCTGCACCTGCCTCGCCAGGTGCACCACAAACTCCCCATACCCCATCCCCGTGGCGCTCCTATCCTCCACGAACGAATGGTAGAACGCCAGCTCACCACTGCCGCCCTGCCGCAGCAGCTGCACCGCTTGGTGACAAACCTCACCTCCCCCTCTGCTGCCGTTGCCGCCCGGGAAATCTCCGCTGCGCAGCGCATCTACTATGGCTGAGATGCGGGCGGCAAGAGGGCTGTCGGGCGGCGGAATGAACGGAACCTGACCGGAAACGAGGTGAGAGGGGAAGGGAGAGGAGCGAGACGTAAGGTGGAGGAAACGGTAGGACGGGAAGGAGAGAGTGGAGAGAAATGGAGTCAATGGCATGACGCCCAGCCCACCACAGGATAGGCAGCCAACTCAGGCAACTCAGGCAACTCAGGCAACTCAGGCAACTCAGGCGGCTCAGCCAGCTCAGCCAACTCAGCCGACTCAGCCAACTCAGCCGACTCAGCCGGCTCAGCCAACTCAGCCGGCTCAGCCAGCTCAGCCGACTCAGCGCCACTAAGCAGAGGAGTAGCAAGGAGAAAGCGATCACAGATCCAAGCAGCAAGAGGGCACCAGGAGCATTGTATCACCTTTTGCGTTCACAGCATCCTCCTCCGCAGCAGTGGCAGCCGGCACAACTGGCTAGACTATTGCGCACCTAGTGTCTGTTCTCTAAACCGGGCTTAAAAACCCACCTCAAACCCTGACAACCTCACTCAGACCCTCAGAACCACCATTGAGCCCTTCAACAACCCCCCTCCCATACCTGGTTTATGTCCGGGGCGTTCAGAGCGTCCTGCCCGACGATCTGGGCGGCGGTGCCAGCTGGCAGTGCGCCGCCCAGCCAGAGGGTGAGGCCGGTGCTGTCGTCCAATAGGAACGCGCCCTGCGGGTCCAGCGATGACGTGGCGAGCGGCATGGCGCGGGGGATGGTGACAATGCCGGATTCGTCTGCCACCCCGCACTGCGGGAGGGGATAAGGCGGTGAGGGGGTAAGACGGTGAGGGTGAAGCAGAGCCATGGCGAACGTGGCAACCCAGAGTGCAAGGGAGATCAATGCAGAGGCATGGCGCAGGGGATCGTGACACCCCGCACTGCAGGAAAGAAGGCGGGCAGAAAGGGGGTGGGGAGGGAGAAGAGGAAAGAAGGGTGGGAGAGAAGGGGTGGAAGAGAGTGGGGGCTGGCGGTGTTGGTTAGGGTTGGTTGGAAGTGGGAGGAGGTTGGTTGAAGCATGCTGAGCGGACCTTCCAGCTCTGCAGAGAAAGGAGAAACGCAGGAGAAAACGCAGGAGAAAACGCATGAGAAAACGCAGGAGAAAACGCAGGAGAAAACGCAGGAGAAAACAAAGCTCACCTGCGCTGGCATGACATGAAGTCCACACGCATCACTCGCGGGTACAGCATCCACGCGCATCACTCGCGGGTACAGCATCCTGATCGTCCGCCCCACCGACACACCGCCATATTTTCCAAAGGCTTCGGCACGCCTCAAGCACAGATACATGCGACTCTCACCTGCGCTGGCATGCATCCACGCGCACTAGCCGCGGGTACAGCATCCTGAGCGTGTGTCCTGCCGCCACCACCTACCACGTGTTTGACACGCCTCAAGCACAGATACATGCGACGCTCACCTGTGCCGGCATGGCATCCACGCGAATAAGCCGCGGGTACAGCATCCTGAGCGTCCGCCCCACCGACACCACCTACCACGTGTTTGACACGCCTCAAGCACAGATACATGCGACGCTCACCTGTGCCGGCATGGCATCCACGCGAATAAGCCGCGGGTACAGCATCCTGAGCGTCCGCCCCACCGACACCACCATCAATTCAAACGCTGCTGCCGCCCGCGCATCCGCCCCCATTTCCTGGAAACCACCCCTAAGCGCCGGGCTCTTGCAGAGCGCCAGCGTGTAGAGTGGCAACAGCCGCAGTGACTCGGGGAAAACGAGCCTCTGTTGGGGGAGGTTCGGCTGGTGCAGGTGCGACTGAGGCGGGCCATAGGGGTTGGACGGAGATGGGGGCGGCATGCCGTAGCCGGACGTGCGGGAGAGGGCGGCGGAGCCGGCCGTCAGGATGCGGTACTCCCGGAGGGCAAGCGTTGTCTTGTTCTGGATGAGCTGGCGACACTCCTCCAGGCGCGATGTGAGGGACTTGTCGAGAGCTGGGGGGGGGGGGGTTGGGGGGGGGGAGAGGGGGATACAAGAGAGGAGAGGAAGAGAGATGGGAGATGAGCTGGCAACACTCCTCCAGGCGAGACGTGAGGGAATCGTCAAGAGCTAGGGGGGAGAGATGGCCGAGGGAGTGAGGAGGGAGGGGGGGAAGGGTGAGTGGAAAGAAGGGAAGGGAGCAGGGGTTTGTGGTGGGGATGGGATGCGAACGATTCTTGCCCCCTGTGTCAGGAGATTCTCGTCCAGAGATGCTTCACAGAGGGATGCAGAGTCCATCTTTGAGGCGCCTCAAGAATTGACAGATGGGTGCAGGCAGAGTCCCCTGCCCCCTTCTTGACCGGAGGGTGGAGAGAGCGGAGAGAGAGCAAGAGGAGGGGGCAGATGGAGGGGGGAGAAAACGCGTCTTTTAGAATTCTCAGAAGAGATTTTTAAGAATTCTTAAAATAGATTTTTGAGAGTTCTCGAAAGAGATTTTTGACCCTTCTTGACCGGAGGGTGGAGAGAGAGGAGAGAGAGCAAGGGGAGGGGGCAGGCGGAGGGGGGAGAAAACGCGTCTCTCCTCTCCCCCCACAACGGAGAGTGCAGCAGGCTGGGCGCACAGCAGCTGCAGGGACTCAAGGGCGACGACAAGGTGGCTCAAAAGGTCCCAAGACAAGATTCACCAATCTTTGCCAGGACAGTGGCAGTCGCCCCCACATCGCATCTCCTGTAAAGCTCAGCCATGTCTCACACGATCGGCACAGCAAGCGTATGCACGCGGATCCTACCCATCCCCATCTTTGCCAGGACAGTGGCACCATCAGGAGATGACGACTCACCGATCTTGGCCAGGACAGTTGCGGTCGCCCCCATGTCACAGCGCCGGTACAGCTCAGCCATGTCTCTCACTATCGGCACGGCAAGAGTATGCACGCGGATCCTTCTCTCGCCGCAGCTTGACGTGTACAGCAGCGCGCACTGCAGGTACGCCATGGTCTGATTGGCTAGCACCGCCTCCTCGTGGGAGATCTGCACGGCATAGCCCTTGTCCGCGTCAGCTGCTGGGATAGCCAGCAGGTCGCTGCTGCGGATGAAGAAATGGCCGTGGAAGGTGGCAATCTTGAGGCCTGACAGTGTGGGAGTGGCCCCGAGAGTTGGGGGGATGGGGAGCAAAGGATGTGGGCAATCTGCACGGCATAGCCCTTGTCTGCATCCGCTGCTGGCATGGCCAGCAGATAGCTGCTACGGATGAAGAAATGGATGTCCGTTCCACAGCCTTGTGAAGTAAGACCTGAAGATTACCAGGAATGAGGCAATCTTAAGACCTGGATTGGGAATGGGAGGAAACGCTGCGTGAGGAGTCTATGTTTTAGGCGACTTAAAAATAACAAAGAAATGGCCGTGGAATGTGGCAATCCTAAGACCTGGCTTGGTAACGGGGGGAAACGCGTGGGAAGGAAGGTGGCAGAGGAGGAGGGGAAAGGGGGGGAGGGAGGGGGGGCGGATGGGACAGAGGGGTGGCGGAGATCTGCACGGCATAGCCCTTGTCTGCATCCGCCGCGGGTTTTGCAAGAAGTTAGCTGCTACTGAGGTATGAAGGACTGGCTGTGAAAGATTGCGACCATGAGGGCTGGAGGAGCGGCAAGAAGGGTTTTAATGGGCGGACCGGTAAGGGAAGGGAGGAGGGTGGGGGTTGGGGGTTCAGGGGGGGTTGGACGAGGGGGGGCTGGACAGCAAAGCAGAGCGCACTGCGGGGGGGTGGACGGGGGGTGTGGACGGGGGGGGTTGGACGGGGGGGGTTGGACGGGGGGTTTGGACGGGGGGGTTGGACGAAAGGGGTTGGACGGGGGGGTTGGTCTGCTTTACTGGTTCCTGGTTTTTGAGTCGACTCATTACATGCGCAGTGCGCCCTGCTTTGCTGGCTCCTGGTTCCTCCATCACAGCCACGCTGAAGATTCTTTCTAGCTTTTCGTGATCTGCCTCCTCTCTCAGGTAAGTTGATTTTGAGAATTCTCAAAGAACCAACTTTCTTTGTACCTTCTTGTGATCGGGTTCCTCTCAGCCTGCCTCTAAACCCTCACCTTTCTCTCCCATCGCCCATTCCTCTAAGGCACCTCACTCTCTCCTTCCTCCCCCATTTTTCGATCCCCCATCCCATTCCACCTTTGCTGCATCGGATGCGCATCACAGATTCCCATGCCATCTCCCTCGTGAGGTTCCTCACGATCCGGCTCGTCAGCTCTCCCTCAACCCAAGCTGTTCCCAACCCCCATCCTCACTCGTACCACTAATACTATGCCCGAATCACTCACCTTTGCTGCACCGAATGCGCATCACCGATTCCCATGCTGTCTCCCTCGTCAGGTTCCTCACAATCTGGCTCCGCAGCTTGTCCCCGTCGTTGGCCAGATGGAAACCCGAGTAGTGGTACACCTGCCCTCCCGTGTAGCGTGCCAGGGTGCCTGCAGAAAAGGGACGAAGGGGACAGGGGGGGGGGGGGGGGGGCGCAGGGGGAGGGCGGGGGGGCGCAGGGGGAGGGTGGGGGGAAGAGGGTCGTGCATGAGGGGCAGAGGCAGAAGCCTGTGCCACCCACTGGCTCCTCAGCCTGCCCCCGTCTTCGGCCAGGTGGAACCCAGAATAGTGGCACACCTGCCCACCTGTGTAGTTCGCCAAGGTGCCAAGAGGAAAGAGTGTAGGAGAAGGGTGGGGGGGAACGAGAAGAAGGGCGCATGAGCCCCTGAAGCCTGGGCCACCCACTGGCTCCTCAGCTTGCCCCTGTCGTTAGCCAGGTGGAACCCCGCATAGTGGTGGTACACCTGCCCTCCTGCGTAGTGCAGCGAAGTAAAGGGGGGAGGGGCCGGGGAGGGGGGGGAAGGGATGGAGAGCAGGAACGTGCATGGGGGCACTGTCTCCAGTAACCACAACACCTCACACGTGTCCCACACCTCAGACAGCCCGTGTGTGTGACGGTGCAGAAGGCCTCCTCAGAGCAGCGCACTGTGTGTGTGTTCCCTGCCCCTCCGTGTGCTCCCTGCCCCTCCGTGTGCTCCCTGCACCGCCTTTGCCCAACAGCCCTACAGCTGCAGGGGAGTACTTCCTTTTCTGTTCAAGCACTCGCCGTCAGCAGTCCCTAATCATCCCCGATGTTCCCCTTCCAAAAGCGCAACAGGCTGCAGCACTCACCGAGTGAAGCCAGGTCGCAGTATTTGCTGCTGAACACAAACGTGTCCACGCAGATCTGAGCGCGGGAGAACTCAGCGGCGGTGCTCTTGTAGAAGGCGTCCTCAGAGCAGCGCACCGTGTGCTCCCTGTCCGTGCCGTACAGCCGCGGGTCGTCCCCCCTCAGCCTCAGCCGTCCCGCGCCTAGTGAGGGCATGGTGGATTGGAACAGAAGAACCTTCCCGCCCAGCTGGCTCTAATAGGGTTAGAGCAGGGATTCGAACAGACCGAGGGAAACGGGCAGAGGGAATGTGAAGGGGAGGGGCGGAAAAGGTTGTTAAAAGTTGTCGTCAGAGCAGCGCACCGTATGCTCCTTGTCTGTGCCGTACAGCGGCATGTCGTCCCCCTCAGCCTCAGCCTTCGAGCTCCTGCGGCTGGAGGGCATTGTCGGCTGGAAGAGAATGCCACCCAGCTGGCTCTGCTCGTGTCAAAGGGGGCGGACGGAGGGGGGCAACGAGTAGAGGGGTGTGAAAGGGAGTGTGTGGGGGGTGGGAGGTAAGCACTAGAAGAAGCGTTCAGGGCAGCGCAACGTGAGCTCCCCACTTAATTTTAGCCTTCCAGCCTTCCAGCCTTCCAGCCTTCCAGCTTTCCAGCCTTCCAGCCTTCCAGCCTTCCAGCTTTCCAGCCTTCCAGCCTTCCAGCCTTCCAGCCTTCCAGCCTTCCAGCCTTCCAGCCTTCCAGCCTTCCAGCCTTCCAGCTTTCCATGCTTTCAGGCGCCTCAAGTGACTCAGCATCAGCAGTGACCTGGCCTTGAGCGCTGGCCCCATAGCAGACTCCACAAAGATGCTCTCGGGCACACCATGTGACTCGCTACGAGCAGCAACATAGCCTTCAAGGCCGGTCCCATAGCCGACTCCACGTTGGCGCTGTTAACAAACAGGTTGGGCAGGGCGTCCAAAAAGGCCTCCACCACGTGGCGGCTCTCGTGAGTGTTCACCAGGAGCTCGTGCTCTCAGGCACACCATGTGACTTACCACGAGCAGCGACATAGCCTTCAAAGCCGGCCCCATGGCAGACTCCACGTTGGTACTCGTGGCAAAGAGGTTCGGCAGGGCGTCCAAAAAGGCCTCCACCACGTGGCGGCTCTCGTGCGCGTTCACCAGGAGCTCGTCCTCTGGCAGCGGCAGGAAGGGGTCGTCGATGTCAGCGCTGACTAGGACGTGCGGCTGAGTCAGAGAGGCTTTAAGGGAGACGAAGTGCAGCGAGGAGTCAAAGAGCAGGAAGCCGATGCGCGTGCGGGAGTCCCCGGGGAGAGAGTCGAGGCATGCACGGATAGCGTCAGATATCACCTGGGGTGAGGGAAGTGGGGGCGGAGAGAAAGGGAGGGGGGGTAGGTACGAGGATATGAGGTTGGGTCGAAGCGGCCTTGAGGAGCGAAGTGCAGCGAGGAGCCGAAGAGGAGGAAGCCGATGCGCGTGCGGGAGTCACCAGGGAGGGAGTCCAAACATGCCCGGATAGCGTCGGAGATAACCTCGGATGGTAAGAGCAGGGAGAAACGGAGGGGATGGAGGGGGTATGAGGATACGAGGGTGGGGGAGGGGAGGGAGGGTTTGAGTGCCACGAGGGACTATTCTTGAGGCGCCTCAAAAAGAGGGAGGGAGGGGGTATGGGGATGTGAGGGTCGGGGGAGAGAGGTTCTGAGTGCCACGAGGGGGACACCAAATAAGCGTCCAGGAATCTCCAGGCACGAAATCCAAGCACGCACGAATGGCGTCGGATTTGACCTGAGAGGTGAGGGGCGTGAGCTCAGGGAGAAAAGTGGGGGCAGAGGAGGGGAGGGCGGGAGGGAGGGAGGGAGGGAGTACGAGGACGTGAGGGTGGGGGAGGGCGGCCTTGCCTGGCACAAGGGGCAGCGGCAGGAAGGGGTCGTCAATGTCAGCGTTGACTAGGATGTGCGCTCACCTGCAAGACACCTGAGCGTGCGTTGTTGATCAACGCGTCGATGAGGAAGAAGGGAGGCGGCACGGGCGGCCGCCGCACCATGTACTCCACAGGCGCTACAAACTCAGGGGAGAGGGGGAGAGGAGAGGGGGAGAGGAGGAGAGGGGAGAGGAGGAGGAGAGGGGGGAGAGGGGAGAGGGGGAGAGGGGAGAGGGGGAGAGGAGGAGAGGGGGAGAGGGGGAGAGGAGGAGAGGGGGAGAGGGGGAGAGGAGGAGAGGGGGAGAGGAGGAGAGGGGAGAGGAGGCGAGGGGGAGAGGGGAGAGGAGGAGAGGGGGAGAGGGGGAGAGGAGGATAGGGGGAGAGGAGGATAGGGGGAGAGGAGGAGAGGGGGAGAGGGGGAGAGGGGGAGAGGAGGAGAGGGGGAGAGGGGGAGAGGAGGAGAGGGGGAGAGGAGGAGAGGGGGAGAGGGGGAGAGGGGGAGAGGAGGAGAGGGGGAGAGGGGGAAAGGAGGAGAGGGGGAGAGGAGGAGAGGGGGAGAGGGGAGAGGAGGAGAGGGGGAGAGGAGGAGAGGGGGAGAGGGGGAGAGGAGGAAGGGGGAGAGGGGGAGAGGAGGAGAGGGGGAGAGGAGGAGAGGGGGAGAGGAGGCGAGGGGAGAGGGGAGAGGGGGAGAGGAGGAGAGGGGGAGAGGAGGAGAGGGGGAGAGGGGAGAGGAGGAGAGGGGGGAGAGAGGAGGAGAGGGGAGAGGGGGAGAGCAGGAGAGGGGGAGAGGGGGAGAGCAGGAGAGGGGGAGAGGAGGAGAGGGGGAGAGGAGGCGAGGGGGAGAGGGGAGAGGGGGAGAGGAGGAGAGGGGGAGAGGAGGAGAGGGGGAGAGGAGGAGAGGGGAGAGGAGGAGAGGGGGAGAGGAGGAGAGGGGGAGAGGAGGAGAGGGGAGAGGAGGAGAGGGGGAGAGGAGGAGAGGGGGAGAGGGGGAGAGGGGGAGGGGGAGAGGGGAGAGGGGAGAGGAGGAGAGGGGGAGAGGAGGAGAGGGGGAGAGGAGGAGAGGGGGAGAGGAGGAGAGTGGGAGAGGGGGAGAGGGGGAGAGGAGGAGAGGGGAGAGGAGGAGAGGGGAGAGGGGAGAGGAGGAGAGGGGGAGAGGAGGAGAGGGGGAGAGGAGGAGAGGGGGAGAGGAGGAGAGGGGGAGAGGAGGAGAGGGAGAGAGGAGGAGAGGGGAGAGGGGGAGAGGGGGAGAGGAGGAGAGGGGGAGAGGAGGAGAGGGGGAGAGGAGGGGAACCAGACCAAAGAGCTCACTTGCACGGGTTGTGCTACAGGTACTCACCTACAGGACCCCTGAGCGCGCGTTGTTGACGGACGCTTCCATGAGGAAGAAGATGGGGGGCGGCATGGGCGGCCGCACCATGTACTCCACAGACGCTACAAACTCAGAGGTGAGGGGAAGGGGGAGAGAGATAGCCCTCAAGACCACTTCGTTCTCTTGAAGCCTCACCTCAGAGGCATGGTGCTCAAGGGGCTCACCTGCAGCACCCCTGAGCGGGCGTTGTTGACGGAGGCGTCGATGAGGAAGAAGAAGGTGGGCGGCATGGGCGGCCGCACCATGTACTCCACAGGCGCCACAAACTCCACACTGCCGCGGCTCAGCTCCGGCCGCTGATGCCAGTCCGTGCGCCTGCCAGTGCTGTCGAGGTTGCAGAAATACTCATGGGATACTGGGAGAGGAGGGAAGGAGACGGGGGGAGAAAGGGAGAAAAAGGGGGGAAGGGAGTGGTTCGAACTCCACACTGCCTCGTCTCAGCTCCGGCCGCTGATGCCAGTCCGTGCGACTTCCAGAGCTGTCGAGGTTGCAGAAGTACTCGTGCGATACTGGGAGTGGGAAAGAAGGGAGATAGAGAGTGAATGAGCACGACAAGCAGACTGTCTGCCTGGCCTGCTGCTACGAGTGCTGCCAAGATTGCAATAGTAATCGAGCGCTCATTGCAATCGTGAGGGTGGGGAGTGGGACATTGATTGATGCCAGTCCGCCCTGCTGCTACTGCTGCCAGGCTCCCTCACTCTCCCTCCCCACTCGCGTGCCCCTCACCCTCTCTACACCATCCCTTTAGTCACACTCCCTAAAGTCACACACCTTCGTTGAGCAGGTTGCAGCTGTTGCAGCGCCAGCGCCTGCCCCCGTCTCTGAAAATAACGAAGCGGTTGACGTACGTGCGACAGCAGCGGCACCTAATGATGCCCCACTCTCCGCCTCCCACTCTCACGCCCTCCCATTCTCACGCCCTCCTTATACCAACGCACCTTCGTTGAGCAGGTTGCAGCTGTTGCAGCGCCAGCGCCTGCCCCCGTCAGTGAAGGTGACGAAGGGGTTGACGTACGTGCGGCAGCGCCGGCACCTAATGATGCCTGACGACCCGAAATTCACCACCGGTACCTCCTCCTCCTGCTTGCAGATAACACAGATTAGTGCAGCAAAGATTATGGAAAAAATCACACAGTACATTACAGTTCAGCTGTTAAAGAAGAGTCTAGTTTTGAGGCGCCTCAAAGATTATGGAATAAATCATACAGTAAATTACAGTTCAGCTGTTAAATTCGCCAACGGTGAAGGGTAGTACAGCCAGAAAAAATCTCATAGGTATTCCGCCTACTTCAAACAGCCAACGCTTTCTGCCCCACTTGCAATTTAAAGCAATCATCCAGCTCAGTCATCACCTACACCGGTTGCCACCACCGCCCCAGTAGTCACCTTCCCCCACTGGTACCTGCCCCAGGAGGAGTGGGAGCGAGAGGCTGCAGGACCAGCCCAAGAGGCAGATGCCACCTCCAGTGAATACCTACCCCAGTTGTCACCTAACCCAGTAATCACGTACCCCAGGAGGAGTGGGCGCAAGAGGCTGCAGCACGGCCCCCAGGGGCAGATGCCACCTGCTCCTGAGCGACTGGGAATCCGGAATTGCCCCACAGGTCATTCTAAAGTACCGCGGATGCGCATTCCCCTCGATCTCCGCCAATCCTCCCGCCACCAAGCCCTCCCCCCACCCCTCAAGCGCCTCCTCCCCGCCGTCTGCTCCCCCCGCGAAGTCCTCTCCGCCGACCACTACCCCCGCTGGCCGCGGGAGCGCGCTGTAATCTACCGCGTCCGCTCCCCCTGCGCCTGGCCCTGCGCCGATCGCGAGAGACTGAAGGTCTTCCGCCAACGCTTGCGCGGCTGCTGCTTGCGCCATGGCTGGGGGGGTTGCCGCTGCGCCTGTGGGCGGGGGACCAAGCGGAGAAGGGGGCTGCGGGGGAGGCGCGCCAAATGGGGGAGGAGCGCCGAAGGACGGCGCAGGCGGGGGATGTGACGCGGGCGCACCGAATTGGGGGAATGTTGCGCGGTCGGGGGATATCCGGGAGGCGGGGGTTGGGATCCATAAGGGGGAGGGGCAGGGGCGGAAGAAAACGGCGGAGGGGGAACAGAGGGCGCGGATCCGTAAGCAGGGGGAGGCCCCGTTGGCGGAGCCCCTTGCGGTGGCGGAAATGCGGGTATCTGCGCGCCTGCGCCCATGGGAGGCGGACCGGGGGGTAGAAACGGCGCGGAACCAGGCGGCCGCGCGGCAAACGGCGGAGGCGGTTGCGCGGAACCAGCCACTGGCGGAGGACCAGGGGGAGCGCCAGCTGGTCTTCCGAAAGGAGGCGGACCAGGGCGCTGCTGGAAGGCGGACGGCGCAGCCGCCGCGGGGGAGGGATGACCATAGGGGGGAGGACCAGGGGGAGGGGCGCCCGCCAAGGGCCCGTTAGCGACCCCAGGCGGAGGACCCACCGGCGGCGCACCTGCAAACGGGGGACCTGGCGGCCGCGCGCCTGGTCTATTCGGCGGAACGAATCCCGCGGGCGCGGCTGGTGGTTGCGCGCCGGGCGGAGGGCCCGTTGGGGGTTGCGCGAAGGCAGGCGGAGGGTGACTGGTGGCGGAAGGGGGAGTGGGGCCCCTGAATCCGGGAGGTGCGGAGCCGTGAGGGCCTGCGGGAGGAGCGGCGAAGGCTGGCGGCCCCGCGAAAGGCGGAGGACCGCCGAATGGGGGGCGCGCGCCGGCTGGCGGAGGGCCAGCGAAGGCCGGAGGACCCCGCGGATAGGGGGGACCTCCAGGCGCACCGGATGACATCTGGAGGGGGATGTAATGCGAAGTGTGGGATTCTGTGGGACGAATGCGGGAGGCTAACGGACAGCGATCTCGACTAATATGTGAGCTCGGATCTCGAAGATAGAGAAGCTTGAAGAGAGGCTAGAGAAGCTATGCCGCTAAAGCGATGGTCGAAAAGTCAACACCCTACTTTACTACTCGAATTCCGCTTCGAGATAACACGTCAGCAGGATCCAGCAGCCGATCGTTTATCGGATTTGCAAGTGAAAGCGATGCCAAGTTACCTCGTAAAGTGCTTGAGCGGATCACGATTCACGAGATCAGGCGAGGGACGGCCACGGCAGCGCGACCGAGCGAGGAACGGCGTGAACTGGTGGTGGAAGATCCATGAATTAGATCCATCAGTGGTGGTGGGGCCTGTTGTACTTTACTCGTACTCGCTCCCCCATCAGGCCCACTGCTGGGACAATCCCAAGAGGAGGTCGTCTGATGAAGATGCTCCGTCCATTGAATCGCATGAGTGTAGTAGAAGTGACTATGCAAAATTAGATACAATGAAGAAGAGAACGTCTTGGGGCGGATGATCAATAGTGTTGTAAATAGCTAAATCTCTACATTGGTTTGATAAGGGGAGAATACATTCTCTGAAGGTGGCGTAATGAGTAGATCTCAAACTGAACCCCAAATTGCTTTTGTACTCAGGCCTCCATCTAATTGAAGAGTGGTCTAGGGCGAAATTGAAGTGGTCTGGAAAAGATGCTGGCAGCATCTAATCTCACAACATTTACAATTGGCATGCAAAAGCCTCAAGATGAGGCACATATAACTTGCAGGCAAACAAGGTGACCTGCTACTAGTAGGGCCAAAGTCTTGGCCGTCTTGAGCTACGTCCATTTTATGAACTCACTGTCACGGCGAGAGTGAGAGAAGAGAGCACAACTTCCAAATACTTCAGCGTCGTTTCTCTATCCATCACGATTCGCCCATTTCCAGACGAAACGTCGAGCCCCCCTGAAACTCGTCAAGAGCTTTACTCACACCCCTTCCTCGTCGTCCACCTCGACGAACACTTCGCCGCTGTCATCGTCGAAGAGCGAAGTTACTTCAAATTTCGGGTGTTTCGCTAGCCACTGGCTGATCGCAATTTGTACGTCGGCGGAGTCACGCTGGTTGTCGTTCTCCTCGATAGCACGGACCAGATCCTCCCAGCCGCTCCGTGAACGAATCATGGCAGCGCGGGCCGACGCCGCCACTTCTTCCTCCAACCCGCCGTCTAGAATCACTTCTGAGGATTCTTCAGAAACGGCATGCGGCACCTTGAAGACGCTTTCCAGGCTTAATTCCAGAATCTCGCTCTCGCCGCCGTCAAGAATCATGGCATTCTCTCCCTCCGAAGATTCCACATCGTCCGCTGGCGAGCGGAGAATGGAGAAGGCGTCGGGTACGCGGACGGCTTCCGTGACGGACACAACGAGTACGACGGCAATAACCAACACTGATAGAGCAGAGTAGCGAGCCATGAGTGTGGACCGAGGGATGCGCCGATTAAATGGGTATGCAAAGAACGTTGAGTAGGATGAAGCTGGTAGCTTGTGCAGAGTCGACACGGTTTCGAAGAGAGCTAAGGCGGAATGGAGCTGAAGACTTCGTGGAATACTGGATCATACACAGAGAGAAGAAATCGGAAGGGACTTGCTAAATATCAGTGGCGAAAACTCGGACCTCCCAGCTCCAACGTGAACGAGAAAGAGAAAGGGGTAGTTTGGGATCAGTCGAGAGGACCAACGCAGAATGCGAACGAAGAGGGAGCGTGGTGGCCGAGGATGGAAACCAAGGGCGGGGATTGGTCCCAGAACGCGAACACCACAAGCGGGAGTGGAATGCTCTGCATGCACCAATTCTTCCTCAGAAACTCTTCTCCAAACGGCCTCGAGCTTATCGTCTCGTCTCGCCAGCTGCACCACACCTCTTCCTGTGCTCGGGAGTGGGAGATGAACAAGTTTCTCGAGATTGGCGCACAGCACTGGGTGCGCTTGACGAAACCAGCAGTTGACGAGAATAGGAAGCCAAATGCGCTTGCATGCAATGCATTGGCGTTTGCACCAATAAATCCTCAACCGCGCCGGGGCTGGGGCTGGGGCTCCGCTGGTTGAAACTTGGAATTCCCTGGGGCTCCGCTGCCACCTGTCCGCAACCTTGCTGCCTGCCGCACTGGCCAGCATGAATGACATGCAAACGTCGGAAGTTTGAAGCACTCTTGTTCATCGGATCGGTGACTTGGCTGTTCTGGGCCGTCGATGGGCGTAAGTTTGATGACGTCGTTCGACTGCTCGTGCCCAGTGACCCTCAATAATTGTGTGCGACTGGCGAGGGACAGCAGTCGCACACGCTTTCGTCAAGGTCGCTATCCGTCAGACATAGGTCAGTGCGAAATAATTCACCGCATTGTGGTTACAGGTGTCCTACACAAAACAGGAGTGATCCCTACATTTTGATTTCTGTGGTTTAGCAACAAGTGAATCAAACAAGTTGAAGAGCTGTATGTATGTTCATTGTTTTGCTTCCCACAAAAATTTAGAGTACCAGAAACTGTTACAGCAAAGAGCACCTGTGCAAGGATGACATGACTGTCATGCACCTCTACAGTGGCTTTGGAGGCTCAACAAATGAAACAGGGGGCTCATCACGATCACCTATCTCCTTCCCAGAAGGTTCTATGAGAAGGTCCGTTTCTTGTGAGTCAGAGCTTCGGTCTAGATGAGTGGTCGGGAGAACGGGCGACGAGGGGACCTTTGCCTGCTTTTGCCGGTACTTGGCAATGGAGTACCAGACACCGCCGGCCGAGTTGATAGCCAGACCCGTTACATTCAGTAACTGGAATTTCACTCCTCCAAGGAAGAAGAATCCAAAGATCTGGAAGGAAGGGGACAGAGATGGAAGGGAACAGCAGAGATAAAAATACGAGATAAAAGATACTTGAACGTCATGGGAGCGAGGAAGAAGGGATTGTGTGGAAAGGAGGCTTGAACACCATCAATGCCTTTAAACGGATGCGCTATTGACAAGACTCACATTGCTATTGCAAGTGCTGAGTGTACGATCAGTTGAAGAAGCGTTGGGGCAAGATAGATCGGCATAAGAACACGCAGTAATTTGTAACAGCACAACGACATGACGTAACAGCACTAAGGCTGGCTGTACAGAATGTCCTGTTGTTAATACGCCCTTGAGCACACCAACAACGGTGGTGGTAAGAGCGGAATTGACAATGGTGCAAAGAAACAGGGTATTGTTGAGCACAAGTGCCAACAGTAGAGCTGCAATACGTTAGCACTAAAAAGACCGTAGAGCAGTGGACGTACCGTGGTGAATACGCCCTTGAGCACACCAACTATGGTGGTGGTGAGAGCGGAGTTGACCATGGTGCAGAGGAACATGGTGTAGTTGAGGACTATCGCCATCACTAGGGATGTGATAACCGCCACTGTAAACGACCAAGACGCAGCACACTGATGGGCAGGGCAGGGGGTGGTAGGGGAGGGGAGGGAAGGGGGAAACGGAGTGGGGAGAGTTGACCATGGTGCCGAGGAGCATGGTGGGACTAGTGCCATCACTAGGGATGCTGTTACTGCCATAGTGAACGTCCAAGATTCGGCACCCTGTTAGCGGAAGGGAGGGGGAGAGGAAGAAAAGAGATGGTAAGGAGTCGACTACGGTGCAGAGGGAACATGGTGTAGTTGAGGACTAGTGCCCTTACTAGCGATCGATGCTTTTGCTGCAACCGTGAACGTCCAAGATCCAGAACACTGCCACTTGGGAAGGTGGTGAAATGGAACAGGAAGAGCTGGCTCTGGTGCAGAGGAGCACGGTGCAGTGGAGGACTAGCTATCACCAGAGATGCAGTAGCCGGCATAGAAAACGTCCAACACTCAACACGCTGAGCGGCAGGGCAGGGCAGGGCAGGGCAAGGGAAGGGGGGGGAGATGGAAGGGAAGAAAAGTGGAGAGTAAGAGTTGATGATGGTGCAGCGGAACATGGTACACTTGAGGAGTAGTAGCGCATCACTAGGGATGCTGCCATTGGCACGGCACAGTGAACGGAAATGGTTTTTGAGAATTCTCAAAAACCACTTCATGTCACTGACACAGTGAACGTCCAAGATTAGGCAGACTGTTAGTGGGGAAGGGCAGTGGTGGGAGGGAAGGGGGAAACCGAGCGGAAAGAGTTGGCTATGGTGCAGAGGAGCATGGCGTGGTTAAGTATGTCGCAAGCGGTGGAGACGAGTTGGTTACGGTGCAGAAGAATACAGGGAAGTTGAAGGCCAACGCCAAGCGTTATAGAGCATGAGCTCGAAGGACGACATGCCCTACTCTGCGCACGACCTCTCCACCAGTAGGGCGGGGAACAGGGAGAGGGGCGTACCTTTGTAAAGAGCAGGGGGATGGAGTGCGGCAATTCGTTCGTGCACAGTAGGATGGCACCAAGGAAGGGCAGCGAGAGCAGGGCATTGTAGAACATGAGCTCAAAGGATGACATGCCCTGCTCTGCGCCGGACTTCTCCACCAGCAGCAGGTAGAAGGTCTGGCAAAGCACCGACGTGAGGGCGAGCGCGTACGCGTAGAAGTCAAAAGAGAAGTCGCCCAGCGCTGCTATGAGGCAGCCGAAGGTGATGAGGGACGTTGAGAGGGTGACCTGGGATTGGGAGTGCGGAGGGAGATGGAGGGGAAGAGAACGCCACCACAAAACAAATTCATAGCAACGGGCTACCAGGCAACGAGGCAAGAAGCCAAAAACGGCAAACAAGGCGCAAGACAACCATATGGCTGGCCAGGGCCGGGATGTGCTAAGTGAAGAGGAGCGAGTGGGATAGCAGAGGACTCTCACTCACCTGCAGTGGCGGCTTGGACTTGCCAGTGAAGAACCCCGTTACAAGCACAGCCATGGGCGTGAGTCTCTTGAGCGCAATGTACATGGGGATGTTGACCCCTTGCAGGCTGGCTAGAGCGAAGGCGACATTGGCATTGTAGAAGAAGGAGAGCGGCAGCAGGCGACGAGCCGTGGCAGTAGAGAAGGGCCGCATCACCAACCATTCGAGCTTGCCCCCCAGATAAATTAGCGCCGTTGTGGCTATCATCTGGATGCGGGGGGGGTGAAAGCAGTAGAGGAGGAGAGGGATGTGCGTTTCTGAAAGAGCAGCATCATCCCCTCACCTGCAGTGCTAGCAGCGTGATGCTCTCACCTGCAGTGCTAGCAGCGTGATGCTGAACTTGTAGTACGTGAGCACGCCCTTGTTGAGAAACACCATTGCCATCGACGCCAGCCCATAGGATACTGCTGCCAGGCCGCTGAAATGGGGAAGGGGAGAAGTGAGGTGGGTGAGTGAGGAGAGGAACGAGAGGGGGAGGGGGAAGACACTGTGAGCATGCCCTTGTTGAGAAACACCCCAGCCCTTAGGACACCGCTGCCAGGCCGCTGTGAGACAAAGGGAAGAGGAGAGGGAAGGGGACGATGAGTGAGGAAAGTGAAGGGAAGGAAAGAACTGTCAGCAGCACAGCACGCCCTTGTTGAGAAACACCATGGCTTATGGACGCCAGGCCGTAGGAAACTGCTGCCAGGCCGCTGGGTCGGGGAAGGGGAGAAGGGAGGGAAAGGTGAGTGAGGAGAGGAACGAGGGGGGGGAGGGGGCGATCTGTGAGCACGCCCTTATTGAGAAACACCATGGCCATCGACACTAGGCCAAAAGAAACCGCTGCCAGGCCGCTGGGATGGGGAAGTGAGAAGTAGAAGGGTGGGGAATATTAGTGAGCAAAGAGAAGGGGAGGAGAAGAACTGTGAGCACGCCCTTGTTGAGAAACACCATGGCCATTGGCGCTGGGCCAGAAGAAACCGCTGCCAGGCCGCTGGGATGGGGAAGGGAAGAAGAAGGCAGGTGAGGCGCGTCAGAAAGGCCAAGGCCATTGATGCCAGTCTGTATGATACAACTGCCAGCCCTGCGATAGATGTTTGAGAATCCCCAAAAGTATGTCGGATACGACTGCCAGCCCTGCGCCTGCTGAGAGATTTGATGGGTACAAAACGGCTACCTGGTCCGTGATTGGATCCGCAATGGCTACGTGATTACAGATGTCACTGATGTCACTAATGGCTACGTGATTACTGATGTCACTGATGTCACTAATGGCTACGTGATTACTGATGTCACTGATGTCACTCCATGGCCTCGTGATGGAAAGCCTTTTGAGGCGCCTCAAAAGTGGTCCGTGATTGGATTTCGCATTGGCTACAACACCGATGTCACTCCATGGCCTAGCAACGGAAAGCTCTAAAACTACCACTCAGGACCACGGGGACTTCTGAGTGGACTCTTAAGTCACTGAAGCTTCCTCTCACGAACGCCAGAGCAGCTGCAAACTTGACAATGCGAGTGCACCGGAATTGAGCAATGGAATAAAGCACTGGAGCCCGGGAGCTGACCGAATACCTGTATCTCTGTAACCACTGCGATGTGGAGTCGGGAGCTAACCGAATCACAAACGATGCAATACAGGAATTAAGCTACCATTTTAAATAGCAGGACCGAATAGCAACGATAGAATCGCGTCTGAATCAAACCTGCGTATCAAACCTTAGCCACGGGCCAGACAAACGCCACGGCATCGACGGTCGGCCATTTTCGCGACCCATTAACTGCTATCGAAACCTCTCGACAATTTCGATGTACTCACGCCTGAATCATGCATTCCATAATGTCACACCTGAGCCACGGGCCAGACAGACGCCACGGCATCGACGGTCGGCCATACTCGCGGCCCATTTCGCTGCTATCACCAGATTTCACGCTCGCAACCTCGTTTTCGTTGCTTCTCATGACCCTGACGCTCGCAGCAGCCGTACAGCGTGGGTCCCGGACCAACCGACGTGCAGGCCGGCCACCCTTCGCGGGTGTACGATTGATAAAATTAGCGTGGATGCATTAGGATGCTTAGACACTGAATCCGAATGCGATGGAACAATCGATTCTGTCTGATCTGAATTGTCTGCTTTCCAAGGCTCGCAATTAGAAATGCGAGCTTTGATGCGTGGCAGAGAAGGCTTCAGACCGTAAGCCAACCGGAATTATCGGTAAGGCCAGAGATCTAGAAGCGAGCTCCGCTCTGCAATCCAGTGTCGCCGTCGAGTCTCGGCTGATAAGCTCTGATGTCTGGCAGCTTCGGGGCATGGTTGGTTTTGGGGGTCGCGCGCAAATGGACAACCCTCCACCCAGACTGTTGTAGATCACATCAAATCCTCTGTACCTTACAATACCGTATTACGCATTGACAATGTGACCGTTGGGGGGGGATTGGACCTGAACCCCAAGCTTGCTTCATTGGTCCCGCTCTTGACTGGAAAGGCATGTGGAAGCAAAAGGATTTATGTTATTTTCTCTCTAAAACTTTCCTTAGAACAAAGCACACCACCTCTCTTCAAGCTTTGGCCTCTGTACTATGAAATCTATAGGGAAAGTACATCCGCGCTCAGTATTAGGATCCCCGCTATTACGTACGGTCAGTGGAACGCTATAAACCATCAGAATTAGTGAGTTCGTCACACGGCTAGTCAGTAGGGTTCCACGGTTAGTCAATGACTGCTGGTAAACATTTCTACAAATATGTCATGCCATCAGCTGTCTCCCACCTGAGCCATCCAACCATAAGCAAGCAATAGCTGGTGCTCAAAGAAAGGAGTGGGTAAAGGCAGAGAGAGAGGAGATCGTCAGTCTCCTTGCACAAGGCACATGGGTGAAGGTACTACTCCCTCCTGGTAAGAAAGCACTGAAGGTCAAGTAGACATATAGAGTGAAAGGGAAGGGAGGTGGTACTCTTGATAGGTACAAGGCACGCCTGGTAGCAAAAGGTTTCTCACAGATTATAGGTTCGGACTACACTGAGACATTCTCAGCTGTAGCCAAGTATACTACAGTCAGGTGTCTTTTGGTGATGGCCACGGTGAAGGATCTCCATATCCATCAAATGGAGGTGAAGAATGCCTTCTTGTATGGTAAGCTCGATGAGGAGATTTACATGGAGCAGCCTGAGGGTTACTCCGATGGTACCAACAAGGTCTGTAAATTGCTAAAGTTCCTCTATGGGCTTAAGCAAGCACCACGAGTCTGGTTTCACACACTTGAGGTTGCACTCCTGTCCCAAGGTTTCACCAAGTCACAGTTCGACCCGGCACTGTACCTGCTACACACAAGTGAGGGGGAGTCCTTGTGGCTCCTAGTCTATATGGATGACATCCTCCTTGTGTCAGCATCACTGAGTCTCCTCACACGCATCAAAGGTATGCTCACCCAAGACTTCATCAGGAAGGACATGGGTAAGCCCTCCCACTACCTTGGTATGAACATCATCAGAGATTGCCCATCCAAGTCTCTCTTCATCTCACAGCAAAGGTACACTGAGAAGGTTCTCTCAAGGTTTGGTCTCCTCGACTGCAACCCTGTCGAGACACCCCTTCCATCCGACTTCCTGCTGAGCTCATCCGAGCAAAGCATTGATCCATCTGAGCTTGAAAGTCAGGTCACAAAGCATGAGGGTGAGCTTGAGGATTTCGAGCTCCTTGAGCATATCGGTCATGACACCTATGCGTCACAGTCCACAAGTCAGGCCACGCCCCTTGAGCTCTCCCTCTACCAGAGCCAAGTGGGCAGCCTTATGTACCCCTCCATCTGCACCTGTCCTGATCTTGCCCATACTCTTGCCATGCTCTCCAAATGCATGGCATCTCCCACACGCATGCATCAGCGTGGGACGCATCGTGCCCTGCGCTATCTCAAAGCAACCTCTTCTTTTGGTCCCCTCTTTCAAGAGTCAGAGGATGCATGCATGTTGTATGGCTTCACTGATGAAAATTGGGCTGGAGATGTCACCACCCGCAGGTCCACTGGTGGATACATCTTCATGCTTGGAGGAGCAGCCATCTCCTGGCAGTCGAAGAAGCAAGGCTGTGTGGCACTATCATCTACAGAGGCATAGTACATGGCTGTGACACAAGGAGCCCGAGAAGCAGTGTGGATAAGAGGTCTCTTGAAGAAGCTTGACCTCCCACAGGAAAATCCTACTCCCCTCTTCATCGACAATACATCTGCAATCGCCCTCACCAAGAATCAGTTTTTCATGGGAGAACCAAGCACATCGGCACGCAGTATCACTATGTTCGGGAGCTAGTGGAGCAGAAACTCGTTGAGCCTCTTTTCTGCCGCACAAGTGAACAAGCGGCAGACTTCCTCACCAAGGTGGTTGCTCGTGACACCTTCATCAACAACCGCGTTCAGGCAGGCCTCGTTGCAGCCGCAGACGTGATGCAGATTTGATCCACCAATGCATGAAGCAGTTGAAGCAGTTGCAGCAGTACCGGTTGGAGGGTATGGGCTTGGAGTGAGGGAGGGTGTTATGAGTGGCATGCGATGCGCGTGCCACATTTCTCTCGTCACTCCAACCCCTCCCCCTCCAAAACCGCTCGTTACAATTCTTCACCTACCCCAACCTATTCCCCACCAACCAAACCTACTCTACCTACCAAAATTTCAAACCAACTTTTCCAGCTCATCTCCTCCAACCTAAGGCCTCCCAATTACTCTTTAATTTCCCCAACTCTCATAATCATTCCTAGTCCACCTCAACCAAGCTTCCAACCAATTCTCCTATTCATCTCCAACTCCCACCTCAAGGCACATGACTCTTCATCATTTTTCATGTGCTCTCTCTTCCTACGCATCAAGAATTCTCCAAGTCGTCTAATCCAACCAATAATCCTCCTCACATGTGACTCAAGCACATTCCTCCCTTCCCTACTCATCAACCTCCACATGCCCCTTATTTATTCCTTCCTTCCTTCCTATCCCAAGTCATCCAAGTTGCCATATCATCACACAAGACTCTCATGATTCCTTACATTCCTCACCTTCCAACTCAACGAAGCTTTCATTCATCCTCCTTTCCTTCCTTTCCAACTCACCCTAGTTTCTCTCCAACACCACATGGTTTACAACTCCAAGACACCAAAGGCTCAACAACCATCACATGCTCCGCTACTATTCATCTTCACCAAATATCCTCTCCAACTTCTCAAGAAGTTTGTCAAAGTACAACCAGGCATCTCCAAGCTCCTCTCCTTCAAGCTTCCCTTCAAGTCTTCTTCAAGCTCCTCAAGTTCACACCACTACAAAGGCTCCTTGTTAGCATTCATGTTCTATGTCTCCAGAGATGGTATTACCATGCTACCTTTCTTCCTAAACTACTATGAGTGGTCTCTCCCTCATGCATGTCCTTGTATCCACTATGGATTATAAGGCTTGTACTATACCCTACTTCATATAAGTTTATGCTCTCAGAGTTCTTTCACAAAGTTTCTAGATTAGCAAAGTAATCAAGCATTAGTCCATCTTATACCCAACTTGAGTATAAGATGTTAAAGTAAGAACTGAATGGTTGACTAGAAGTTGAAACCTAGAACAAATACTAGTTGGTTGTACTCACTAGAAGCATACCTCAGTCTAGCCTATAACTTCTACATAGCTAATATGTATAAGTTGACACACCCCCTAGGCTAGACAAGGGGTGAAGCTAAGTAAGAAGCAAACAACTCAGGGTGGCACTACTAGTCCAACCACTGAGGCAGGGATCTGGAGACCAGTCAGCAAGAATACAAACAAAACTAAAGCAAGCCAGGGCGGCACTAATAGTCCAGCCACTGGAGGTAAGGCCACAAGGCCAGTCTGACAGGCATATATAATAGAGAGTACACAATCAGGATCCTAACATGTGAGTAGCTACAGGAACAAGACCTAGCTGTACACAGTGCCGCTGATGATCTTTAGGCGCAAGCGCCTTAGTAAAGATATCAGCTGTGTTGGCACCTAGGCCAAGTGAACTACGCGGGCCTGGCGGCGCTGCTGTAGCTCGCGCAGGAGAAAGTCCCGCAGCTGGATATGCTTCGCTCTGCCCTCAAGCCGAGGCTCCTGACACAGGAGTATCATGGCCCTCTTGTCAGCGTACAGGACCGGGGCAGAGCTAGGCCGCTCACCTAAGTCTGTGAACAAGAAGGTAAGCCAGCGGAGCTCCTGTGCCGCCATGGCACCAGCGTAGATCTCAGCCTCACAGCTAGACTGAGCCACAGACGACGAGCGAGTGGATCTCCAAGAGATAGCACCCGAACCAAGGCTAAAACAGTAGCCCTGCGACGACCTGAGCGTCTGAGAGTCGTCTGCCCAAGAAGCGTCTGTGTGCCCAGTAAGGACCACTGGCCTGCGTCCTCCTAGCACTAACCCCATGCCCGATGTACTAGCAAGATAACGCAAAACCGTCTTAGCGGCAGACCAATGCTGAGGTCGATGTCTGCCTGTAGCCACAAAGCGAACCAGGATGCTGAGAGGGTATGCGAGATCTGGGCGACTGCAAGTCATCAGGTACACGAGGCAACCCACCAGCTCTGCGTAGGGGCCACTGGGCTCTACTGGCTCCTCAGGAATGGGAGCGGGGAGCCCATGGTCTACAGGTAGAGGTGTGGGCTGTGCGGAGGAGAACTGAAGACCGAACCTCTGAAGGACCTGACGCACCAAGTGTGACTGTGTCAGAGTGATGGTGCGTGCTGCTCTATCCCTACTGATCTGCAGGCAAAGATAGCGACGCAGCTCTCCAAGGTCAGTGCAGGTGTGTCTCTTCAGAAGCTCGGCCTTCACAGAGGCCAGTGCGTCCCTGTCAGCAGTAGCGAAAACCAGATCGTCTACGTAGACAAGGATGTAGAACGGAGTCTGGCCGGAACGCACAAACAACGAGGGGTCAGCAGAGGACGGAAAGAACTGCAGGTCTGCTAACATGGCCCGCAGCGTGTCGTGCCACTCGCGAGGAGCCTGACGCAGGCCGTAGACCGGGCGCCTAAGAAGCCACTGGGTCCCAGGAGGGAAGGTACCAGTGAAGCCCTGTGGTCGGCGCAGTTAGACCTGCTCGAGTAGGCTGCCCTGAAGAAAGGCAGTAGAGAAGTCGAGGGAGTGAAGCTCGTAGTCGCTCTGTGCTGCTACGTGTAGCAGCGCCCGATGAGTGGTCATCTTCGGGGTCGGGGCGAAGGTCTGGAAGAAGTCAACCCCCTCTCGCTGACTGAAACCTCTGGCCACGTAGCGCGCCTTGAAGACAGGCGGCTCTCCAGGGGGGCGTTTCACCTTGAAAAGCCACCGACCATCGACTACGTTCACCCCAGGCGGGGGAACTGCGTCAACGTAAGTGCCGGTGGACCTCCAAGATGCCATCTCCTGCTCCATGGCAGCTATCCACTGAGAGGCCCAAGGTCCCGAGGTCGCCTTAACGTAGGTGCGAGGGGTCGGGATGTCGAAGGCGTCTGGGTCACCCTCAGGGACTAACAGCATGGAGCAGAGATTGGGAGCAGCCTCGGAAAGGAAAGCAAGCTCATACTGTCTGTCCTCTAGGACGTCATTGCCAAGGGCAGGAGCACCCCCGACGGACGGAGGACGGGCAGGGTCAGAGACCAGAGCGGTAGCGTAGTCAAGGCGGCGGGTAGAGGCGAAGTCAGCGACAGCAGCGACAAGAGCGTCAAGGCGCGAGACAGGAACAGCAGGGTCGGTAACAAGAGAGGCAAGGACCCGAGGGACAAGGGGACGAGCGGCACGGAGGTAGTCTGAGAACGGAGGAGGTGCAATAGCAAGGGACGAGGGAGGAGGGGACGGGAGGAGGGGAGGACGAGACGAGTGGTAACGGAGCAACATAGGGTGGGAGCACAGGACAGGAGAGACGGGACGAGCACGGGAGGGACGGCGAGACCAAACGTGGGACGGAGGTGTAGGGCCAGGGAACAGCGGAGGGGAAACAGGAGGGGAACGAGGAGGGAGACGGGCCGCAGACGAGTCTGGCGGCGGGAACACAGGACCGTAGATAGGAAGGTCAGCAGGCGGTGGGGGAGACATCGGCGAGCGGTGGCGGAGGCCGGGGACGGAGCCGGTGCAGCGACTCGACTAGGCAAGCTAGGCAGTCCTACGCCGGACGCAGCAGGGGAGGCTAAGCTACACAAGGGTGCAACACCTAAACTGGAGTACACAGGGTAATAAGATCCAGCAACACTAGAAGCGTCAGAATACAAAGCATGCAAAGCAGCACCTATCTGATCCATGTCTAACTCAAAGATCGGCACGCCCTGCCGGAGCAGGCTGTGCCACTCGGGGAGGTCCGGGGCCGGGCCAAAGCGACGACGAAAGAGATCGTCGAGGCGGCGGAAACAGCGGGCGGCGGGTGCGGGCGGTGGTACAGAGTGCAGCGAAGAGGCCCGGTCTGAAGCTGGTACTGGCAGGTGACAGCACCGGAGCCGCCGGTAGACGCCAAGCTGCGCAGGCCGCCACCACGGCCACTACCTCCGGAGGTGCCGGGCCAGCCAGGCGACCGCAGCCGAAACGTCAGTGAACGTGCACTGGGAGGGGGCACAGCCGTGAAAGATAGAGACTGCCGGCGCACCGCTCGGCTGAGAGATAGTGCGCTGACGAGTCTCGATCTCGGTGAGAGTGTCGACAAAGGCGGTGAGGGTGAGGTCACCCGGGTGCTGGCTAAGGAAGTGATCGCGAGCACTAGCGAGGCGGTCTGGCAGGCGCATGGCGATAAAATAGAGCGTCATGCAGAAAGGGGGGGGAGCGCAGTGAGTTGGGCAGCAGTGCTGGCAGTGCGATAGCGGGTCTCTAGGGCACGCAGGTGAGTGGCAAAGTCTGCGACGGTAGGGAATGCTGCAAGGTCTGGGAACAGCATCGGGAAGAGCAAGCGGCCCGCAGAGGCAGATGCAGGTGTGGAATAGCGAGCAATAACGGTATCTAAGTAAGCTTTGGCCGTCTCAACAGTAGCAAAATGCGAGCGCTCGGACATAGGGAGGGCGTGACTAATAGTAGCTTGAGCTACTGCATCGCGGGAGTCCCAGACCGCACACGCAACCGCAGCAGTAGAAAAGGCCTCACGGTCATCAGAGGTGGGATCGGCAGGGAGGGGAGCAAGGGCAGGGGGGCGGGGGAGCAAGCCATCGACATGGACAACCAAAGAGTGGCCATCCTGGCGCTGACCTATAAGGTGGCGGCGGAGATCGGGGAGCCAGGCGGCAAAGTCAACCGCATGGCCCTCGGCGTCCAGTTGGAGCACGAAGCCAGCCATCGTGCAGGGTCAGCGGCACAGCTCCACAGGAACACAGCGACGCAGGGACACGGCGGCAGCACTCTCCAGCACGGCGGCCGCGAGGCGCCCCAGCACTAGCGAGCAGAGTAGACGCAGCCTGAGGTGGCACGGCAGAACGAGGAGGCACGAAGATGGGCCGGGCGGGTAGTGGGAGTGGCTAGGCAGACGCGGCGGGGCCAGGCAGGCGCGGAGGGGCCAGGCAGGCGCGGCGGGGCCAGGCTGGTGCGGCGGGGCCAGGGAGGCGCAGCGGGGCCAGGCAGGCGCGGCGGGGCCAGGCAGGCGCAGCGGGGGCAGGCAGGCGCGGCAGGGCCAGGCAGGCGCGGCGGGGCAAGGCAGGCGCGGCGGGGCCAGGCAGGCGCGGCGGGGCCAGGCCGGCGCGGCAGGGCCAGGCCGGCGCGGAGGGGCCAGGCAGGCGCGACGGGGCCAGGCAGGCGCGGCGGGGCCAGGCAGGCGCGGCGGGGCCAGGGAGGCGCGGCGGGGCCAGGCAGGCGCGGCGGGGCCAGGGAGGCGCGGCGGGGCCAGGCAGGCGCGGCGGAGCCAGGCAGGTGCGGCAGGGCCAGGCAGGCGCGGAGGGGCCAGGCAGGCGCGACGGGGCCAGGCAGGGCGCGACGTGGCCAGGCAAGGCGCGACGGGGCCAGGCGGGCGCGACGGGGCCTAGCGGGCGCAACGGGGCCAGGCAGGGCGCGACGGGGCCCAGGAGGGGCGCGACAGGGCTAGGAGGCGCAACGGGGCCCAGGAGGGGCGCTAGGAGGCGCGACGGGGCACAGGAGGGGCGTGAGTGGGCCCAGGAGGGGCGCGACGGGGCTAGGAGGCGCGACGGGGCCCAGGAGGGGCGCGACGGGGCTAGGAAGCGCGACGGGGCCCAGGAGGGGCGCCACGGAGCTAGGAGGCGCTACTGGGCCCAGGAGGGGCGCGACGGGGCTAGGAGGCGCGACGGGGCCCAGGAGGGGCGCGACGGGGCTAGGAGGCGCGACGGGGCCCCGGGGGGGGGGGGGGGGGGGGGGGGGGGGGGCGCGGCGGGGCCTAGCTAGGGTACGGGCGGAAGCGGTAGGTGGGGGATGCTAACCTACACGTGATACCATGTTAAAGTAAGAACTGAATGGTTGACTAGAAGTTGAAACCTAGAACAAATACTAGTTGGTTGTACTCACTAGAAGCATACCTCAGTCTAGCCTATAACTTCTATATAGCTAATATGTATAAGTTGACATAAGATGCATCACCAAGTCACAAGCTTGTAGGAAGATCATCTTCTTCAACACTCAACCTTGTGGCACCTTCACTCTTCTAAGTACAAGACCCTCTCCTTCAACCACATCCAAGATTGTGATCTCTCCTCGAGCTTGTGGTCTCCTCCCAAGCTTGTCGTCTTCTCCCAAGCTCAAGATCCTTTCCAAGTGCAAGTCCTCCTCTATCAAGAACCACTACCAAGATCCTACAACTTTTCAATTTTGTAAGTCACACATAAGTAAGTCTTTCACCCTTCAAAAGCATCTCTCCCTAGACAAGTCTCTTTTTACTCGCTTGAGTACCTTTCCCGTATTTCTTACAAGCATATTATAATCCCATATATATGCGCTACAGTTCTACTATTGCACTCTTGTCCTATTCAACCGTACAATTATACTCTTTTGTCCTTATCTAAATTCGTGTCGCGACGCGAACAAGAAGCAGTAGTCACATGCAGGGCAGCTAGGAACTATCAATGAGGATGAATAATTGCGACATTGCGCCGAGGGCCTGGTGTGAGCTGCGAGTTTGTTCGCGTAAAGAGTGCTCCATGGTGTCGCAAGCTGAACTTATGTTTTGACGATTAAACTGAAAGCGTACAAATTTAAACTGAATAAAAGAACAACAGAAGACATAAGACAAAACCACCTCTAATTCTACACAGCAGTTGTGCTCTAACCCGCTCATTTCATTGAGCATCCTCTCCATAGCCTTCAGCTGCCAAGCCACTGCTGCCACCTTGGCGAGGAAAAAAAACATCCCCTCCGCATATCACCTCTCGCTTCCCAACGCATCTCCCTCTGGGGCCATCACCTGTGCTGGCACAGCCATCAGAGCGCCCTCTACTGCCATTGTGCAGAGAGGCAGCGACGCAAACCCCCAGATGACCTTCAAGCAGCTTTAGATGACAGAAGATGGGATCTGAGCCACTCGTTCCCCTCCGCATCTCCCTCCAGGGCCTTCACCTGCGCTGCTACAGCTCTCAGGGCGTCTTCTGCTGTCATCGTGTCAAGAGGCAGCGATGCAAACTCCCGCAGAAACTGCCGTGCTCGCCCCACCCCCTCCCTCTGCTCCTCCCCTCCGTCCCGCTTACGCTTCGCTCCTGCAGCAGCACCACCACCACCAGCAGCACCACCACCACCACCACCAGCTGCACCACCAGCACCCTCACCAGCATCAGCAGCACCCGCTCCATCACCACCAGCACCACCAGCATTAGCAGCAGGCGGAGCAAAGTCTTCCAGTTCCTGCGCCTTGGCCCGGGCCATGGCCACCACCTCAGGGGGGAAGTGAGCAAACTCCGCTACATGAATGCCAAAGCTCTGGTCACAAGGGCCGGGCTGCACCTGGCAGGGGTGAGACGAGCGACAGTACAATACGAGGGAGGGGGGAACGGTTTACTAGGGGCGAGAAGTGAGCACACTCCACCACATGAATGCCAAAGCTCTGATCACGAAGGCCGGGTTGCACCTGGGGGAGGTGAAACAAGCGACAGAAGGAGGGACATGCTTGAAAAAGAGTGGGTAGAGAGCAAACTCCGCCACATGAATGCCAAAGCTCTGGTCAAATGGACCAAATCGCACCTGGGAAAGGAGATTCATCTACATTAAAGAGCATGTTATAAGAAAACACTGATACAGAGCTATCAGGTTATAAGGAGGGGTTTGATCAGTGGTAGCGCAATTGTTTTACGGCACCTCAAGAAGCAAGTGAACAACTATGGGGCGCCAAGAGCAAAATGTACTTGGCAGGAAGCATGAAGGAACCTGAAGTAGCAGGAACAAGAAGAGTTAACCTGAGCACAGTGCTAGAACACATACCTTGTACAGCATGGTCAGCTTCCTGGAAGCTTCGTCGATGTGTGCGCTGACGTGGAAGTTGGCCACACCGCTGGAGGCATCCCGGGTCTCAAGGGCAGTGAGCTCGTGAAAGTGCGTGGCGAAGAGGGTGGGCGCCCTAGTGACGTCCACTAGATGCTCGCAGATGGCCCAAGCGAGGCCTGATGTGAGGGGGATTGGTGGGAGCAACAGGCGGGAGAGGGGAGCAAGCCAAGAGGAAGACCACAGACTCCAGAGCAGTGAGCTTGCGAAAGTTGGCCACACCGCTGGAAGCATCCCCGGTATCAAGGGCAGTGAGCGCGTGGAAGTGCGTGGCGAAGAGGGTGGGCGCCCTAGTGACGTCCACTAGATGCTCGAAGATGGCCCAGGCGAGGCCTGATGTGAGGGGGCTGGTGGGAGCAACAGGAGAAAGTTCCGTGTGACATTGTAACGAGCTGACTTTTGAGTCGACTCACAAGATAGCCAAAGCGAGACAATCACCGAAGCCATTGTGGGTGCCGTGCAGTGCAGTGATTCAGTGAACTCTCTAAAGCCATCGCCTGTGACCCCCTTCCCAGCTCGTCGATTATGACGAGCGACTGCGGCGTGGCGGCGTGATGGACCGGTGATACTCAGTGGAACGCACTGCACCGCACTGCGCTCACCGAATCCGTCGTAAGTTGACGTCCCCCTTCCCAGCTCGTCGATTATAACGAGCGACTGCGGCGTGGCGGCATGGAGGATGGCGGCGGTTTCGAGCATTTCAGCCATAAAGGTGCTCACTCCCCTCAGCTGCAAGGTGGGCAGGGAGGGAGCAGCGTGTGATAAAGACAGGGGAGTGAGCATGGCGGCATGCAGGATGGCAGCTGTTTCGAGCATCTCAGCCATGCAATTGCTCACTCCACGCAGTTGCAAGGGATGGAGCAAACCAAGGTGGGAATGAAGGGAGGGGAGGTAATTGGAGTGAGTAAGCATGGCGGAATGCAGGATGGCGGCTGTTGTGTCGAGCATCTCACTCAGCCATGAAGGTGCTCACACCCCTCAGCTGCAAGAGACGAGTCACGAAGGGGAGCACGGGGCAACCCCAGAAGGGTGAAGATAGGGGTGGGGAACGGTTCGGATGGAAAAATAGGCGTGGTAGAGCATCTCCGCCATGCGGTTGCTCCCACCGCGATTTCGCAGGGTATTCTCGATTTTGCAGCGATTATGAAGTTTCTCAAACATACCCGGCCATGCAGGTGCTCACACCTCGCAGCTAGGTGGGGACACGGGCAGGGGAGGGAGACGAGTAGAGTAGGACAAAGAAACGCAAGTGAGTATGTGGGAGGAATGCAGGATGGCCACTGTTTCCAGCAGGAATCAAAAGTTTTGATTTCCCCCCACCCCCCCTCCCTCCTACACCCCCACCTCACCTGGCAATCCCCAGTGGCCACATTGGCATTCCACCAGCACTGATGGTGGTCTGATTTGGGGCCTGTCCCGGTCAGCCGAAACTAGTTTGCGTTTTAATCTTCTAGTGGAGTTGAGTTTGAAACTTCAAATTCTCGCGCTTTAAACCGGGGTATCACTGCATCTACTGTTACTCTTTTGCACAAAAGAATTCATCGCTGCTGCTCGTCCTATTTTTGAGGCGCCTGAAAAATCATCGCTGCTGCTGGTCCTATTTTTGAGGCGCCTAAAAAATCATCGCTGCTGCTCGTCCTAACGCTTATGGCCCCCCTTCTCCTCCCCCACCTCACCTGGCAATCCCCAGCGCCCACACGGGCAAAAATGGCATCTCTGATGCTGACGTGAGCACGGGAGCAAGGGACGAAGGAGCCCACTTGCGCCATCAAGACGACCACGCCCACCTGTGACAAAAAAAGGGCAAAACAAACAAGCAAATGAATAAACAAATATGCATATAAAACAGGAGAGAAAAAAAGCAGGACATCCTGGCACACAGGGGCACGGGAAATGTAACTGAGCAGCATAATGATACAACATTTTTTTTACATACCTGCCGTATATACGTTGACTTGCCACCCATGTTGGGCCCCGTGATGATCTGAAACCAGCTGCGATCCCTCTCCTGGTGTGATGGGGAGAAGAGTGGGGCATGGATGGCATGGGTATATGTATTGTGCTAGGCGAGACTAACGACAGGGGGGGAGGGGAGAGGCGTGGAGGCATGGTTCACCACCCATGTTTGATCTGAAGGTGACTTTTGAGTCGACTCAAAAGTAACTCAAAAGTCGTCTCAAAAGTCACCTGTGTGATCTGAACCCAGCTGCGACCCACAGCTGAACCCAGCTGCGACCTCTCTCGCCTGGTGATGATGGGGTGATGGGTGAGAAACGGAGTTACCAGAAGGAAGAGCAAGTGTGGACAGTGGACGGTAATAAAGAGAAGTCGGGCAACGAATGTAGGAGGCATCATTTTCATCGTACATTATCACGTTTCTTGAGGCGCCTCAAAAAAGGAGATTTTTTTACTTGAGGCACCTCAAAAAGGAGGAGGCATCATTTTCATCGCACACTATCACGTCTCGGTGAATCATGGATGCTGCATGGCTGATGAAGCGGATGCGACGTTTCAAATTTAATTCGCCTCTACCACAACGGAAGTCATCTCATTTCCAGGCGCATTCTTTAGAGATTTATATATATAAAAAATTACTCCACTTTAGTCGTTTCATTACCAGATGCATACCAGGCGGCAGGTGCATACCAGGCGGCAGTGATTGGGAATGAAGCTGACGTCATCCTGCACCTCCACACATGGGTGGCGGCTGTCCTCCAACACTATGTCGCCCTCATCCTGATGCCATACCATGCCATACCATGTCATGCCATGCCATGCCACGCCATGAGCCATGCAACACGAGCCATGCAATACATGACATGTGCCATGTGCCATGTGACATGCAATATATGGCATGTGCCATGTGACATGCGAACACGGGAAAGCGAGAACGGGGAGGGAACAAGTGAGCAGTCAAAAAGCGGCATGAAGATTTTTGAGGCGCCTCAAAAAAAGCGGCATGAAGATTTTTGAGGCGCCTCAAAAAAAGCGGCATGAAGATTTTTGAGGCGCCTAAAAAAAAGCGGCATGAAGATGGGACTAAACCTGTGCAAGGACAAGGATGGAGCCATGGAAACAACCAGGCAGAAACTCTTTCCATTGGTGCAAGGAGGATCCATGTATTTCTACCGAGCCGGTGATTGACGCTCGTACCGGGCCTGAGATGGAGGGTCGGACGTAGGGCGTTGGTGCCGAAGCTGCAAGCTCTGCAAAGCCCTGAAGCACATCCATTTCTGCGATCAGCGATGCCACGCCCTCAAACACCTGGACGGCAGGGGCGGTTAAGCATGTGACGCCAAGCCATGTGAGGCAAACAGTTAAGTTTGAGGCGCCTCAAAACCAGTGACGTCACATGCTCAACCACCTGCTTGTGCTGGCATGTGTGTATGCAAAGACGGGGGCGAGGCGAGGGCATGGTGCTGAATACAGAAAAGCCCTGCTGAATACAGAAAAGCCCTGCTGAATACAGAAAAGCCCTGCTGAATACAGAAAAGCCCTGAAGCACATCCATTACTGTTGTCCGTGATGCCACGCCCTCAACCCCCTGCTTGTGTTCGCAACGTGTGTGTGCAAACACCGAGGGCGAGGTGTTCGCAACGTGTGTGTGCAAACACCGAGGGCGAGGTGTTCGCAACGTGTGTGTGCAAACACCGAGGGCGAGGTGTTCGCAACGTGTGTGTGCAAACACCGAGGGCGAGGTGTTCGCAACGTGTGTGTGCAAACACCGAGGGCGAGGTGTTCGCAACGTGTGTGTGCAAACACCGAGGGCGAGGTGTTCGCAACGTGTGTGTGCAAACACCGAGGGCGAGGTGTTCGCAACGTGTGTGTGCAAACACCGAGGGCGAGGTGTTCGCACGGTGTGTGCAAACACCGAGGTGTTCGCAACGTGTGTGTGCAAACACCGAGGGCGAGGTGTTCGCAACGTGTGTGTGCAAACACCGAGGGCGAGGTGTTCGCAACGTGTGTGTGCAAACACCGAGGGCGAGGTGTTCGCAACGTGTGTGTGCAAACACCGAGGGCGAGGTGTTCGCAACGTGTGTGTGCAAACACCGAGGGCGAGGTGTTCGCAACGTGTGTGTGCAAACACCGAGGGCGAGGTGTTCGCAACGTGTGTGTGCAAACACCGAGGGCGAGGTGTTCGCAACGTGTGTGTGCAAACACCGAGGGCGAGGTGTTCGCAACGTGTGTGTGCAAACACCGAGGGCGAGGTGTTCGCAACGTGTGTGTGCAAACACCGAGGGCGAGGTGTTCGCAACGTGTGTGTGCAAACACCGAGGGCGAGGTGTTCGCAACGTGTGTGTGCAAACACCGAGGGGCGAGGTGTTCGCAACGTGTGTGTGCAAACACCGAGGGCGAGGTGTTCGCAACGTGTGTGTGCAAACACCGAGGGCGAGGTGTTCGCAACGTGTGTGTGCAAACACCGAGGGCGAGGTGTTCGCAACGTGTGTGCGAGGTGTTCGCCGTGTGGTGCAAACACCGAGGGCGAGGTGTTCGCAACGTGTGTGTGCAAACACCGAGGGCGAGGTGTTCGCAACGTGTGGTGTGCAAACACCGAGGCGAGGTGTTCGCAACGTGTGTGTGCAAACACCGAGGGCGAGGTGTTCGCAACGTGTGTGTGCAAACACCGAGGGGCGAGGTGTTCGCAACGTGTGTGTGCAAACACCGAGGGCGAGGTGTTCGCAACGTGTGTGTGCAAACACCGAGGGCGAGGTGTTCGCAACGTGTGTGTGCAAACACCGAGGGCGAGGTGTTCGCAACGTGTGTGTGCAAACACCGAGGGCGAGGTGTTCGCAACGTGTGTGTGCAAACACCGAGGGCGAGGTGTTCGCAACGTGTGTGTGCAAACACCGAGGGCGAGGTGTTCGCAACGTGTGTGTGCAAACACCGAGGGCGAGGTGTTCGCAACGTGTGTGTGCAAACACCGAGGGCGAGGTGTTCGCAACGTGTGTGTGCAAACACCGAGGGCGAGGTGTTCGCAACGTGTGTGTGCAAACACCGAGGGCGAGGTGTTCGCAACGTGTGTGTGCAAACACCGAGGGCGAGGTGTCGCACGTGTGTGTGCAAACACCGAGGGCGAGGTGTTCGCAACGTGTGTGTGCAAACACCGAGGGCGAGGTGTTCGCAACGTGTGTGTGCAAACACCGAGGGCGAGGTGTTCGCAACGTGTGTGTGCAAACACCGAGGCGAGGTTTCGCAACGTGTGTGTGCAAACACCGAGGGCGAGGTGTTCGCAACGTGTGTGTGCAAACACCGGAGGGCGAGGTGTTCGCAACGTGTGTGTGCAAACACCGAGGCGAGTGTCGCACGTGTGTTCAACACCGAGGCGCAACGTGTGTGTGCAAACACCGAGGGCGAGGTGTTCGCAACGTGTGTGTGCAAACACCGAGGGCGAGGTGTTCGCAACGTGTGTGTGCAAACACCGAGGGCGAGGTGTTCGCAACGTGTGTGTGCAAACACCGAGGGCGAGGTGTTCGCAACGTGTGTGTGCAAACACCGAGGGCGAGGTGTTCGCAACGTGTGTGTGCAAACACCGAGGGCGAGGTGTTCGCAACGTGTGTGTGCAAACACCGAGGGCGAGGTGTTCGCAACGTGTGTGTGCAAACACCGAGGGCGAGGTGTTCGCAACGTGTGTGTGCAAACACCGAGGGCGAGGTGTTCGCAACGTGTGTGTGCAAACACCGAGGGCTGAGCTGATGGTGCTGAGCTGAATACAGCAACGCCCTGCTGCACATCCATTTCTGCTATCAATGACGCCACACCCTCGAACGCCTGCTTGTGTTCTCATGTGTGAGTGCAACAAACACCTGCTCAAGGGGACATCAATCATGCAAACTCAAGACGGTGCAAAATACACCTGCTTGTGTCCACATGTGTGTCTGTGTGTGTGTCCACATGTGTGTCTGTGTGTGTGTCCACATGTGTGTCTGTGTGTGTGTCCACATGTGTGTCTGTGTGTGTGTCCACATGTGTGTCTGTGTGTGTGTCCACATGTGTGTCTGTGTGTGTGTCCACATGTGTGTCTGTGTGTGTGTCCACATGTGTGTCTGTGTGTGTGTCCACATGTGTGTCTGTGTGTGTGTCCACATGTGTGTCTGTGTGTGTGTCCACATGTGTGTCTGTGTGTGTGTCCACATGTGTGTCTGTGTGTGTGTCCACATGTGTGTCTGTGTGTGTGTCACATGTGTGTTGTGTGTGTTCCAATGTGTTTGTGTGTTCCACATGTGTGTCTGTGTGTGTGTCCACATGTGTGTCTGTGTGTGTGTCCACATGTGTGTGTATGTGTCCACATGTGTTTGTGTGTGTGTGTGTGTGTGTGTGTCCACATGTGTCTGTATGTGTCCACATGTGTGCGTATGTGTGTCCACACGTGTGAGTGTTGTCCACATGTGTGTGTGTGTGTGTGTCTACATGTGTGTGTATGTGTGTGTGTGTGTGTGTGTGTGTCCACATGTGTGTGAATGTGTCCACAAGTGTGCGTATGTGTGTCCACATGTGTGAGTGTTTGTCCACGTGTGTGTGTGTCCACATGTGTGTGTGTGTGTGTGTGTGTCCACATGTGTGTGTGGTGTGTCCACACGTGTGTGTGTGCGTCCACATGAGTGTGTATGTGTGTGTGTGTGTGTGTGTGTGTGTGTCCACATGTGTGTGCGTATGTGTCCACATGTGTGTGTGTGTGTGTCAACATGTGTGTGTGTGTGTCCACATGTGTGTGTGTGAGTGTCCACATGTGTGTCTGTGTGTGTGTCCACATGTGTGTCTGTGTGTGTGTCCACATGTGTGTCTGTGTGTGTGTCCACATGTGTGTCTGTGTGTGTGTCCACATGTGTGTCTGTGTGTGTTCCACATGTGTGTCTGTGTGTGTGTCCACATGTGTGTCTGTGTGTGTGTCCACATGTGTGTCTGTGTGTGTGTCCACATGTGTGTCTGTGTGTGTGTCCACATGTGTTGTCTGTGTGTGTGTCCACATGTGTGTCTGTGTGTGTGTCACATGTGTGTCTGTGTGTGTGTCCACATGTGTGTCTGTGTGTGTGTCCACATGTGTGTCTGTGTGTGTGTCCACATGTGTGTCTGTGTGTGTGTCCACAGTGTGTCTGTGTGTGTGTGTCCACATGTGTGTCTGTGTGTGTGTCCACATGTGTGTGGTCCTTGTGTCTGGTGTGTCCACATGTGTGTCTGTGTGTGTGTCCACATGGTGTGTGTATGTGTCCACATGTGTTTGTGTGTGTGTGTGTGTGTGTGTGTCCACATGTGTCTGTATGTGTCCACATGTGTGCGTATGTGTGTCCACACGTGTGAGTGTTTGTCCACATGTGTGTGTGTGTGTGTGTCTACATGTGTGTGTATGTGTGTGTGTGTGTGTGTGTGTGTGTCCACATGTGTGTGAATGTGTCCACAAGTGTGCGTATGTGTGTCCACATGTGTGAGTGTTTGTCCACGTGTGTGTGTGTCCACATGTGTGTGTGTGTGTGTGTGTGTCCACATGTGTGTGTGTGTGTCCACACGTGTGTGTGTGCGTCCACATGAGTGTGTATGTGTGTGTGTGTGTGTGTGTGTGTGTGTCCACATGTGTGTGCGTATGTGTCCACATGTGTGTGTGTGTGTGTCAACATGTGTGTGTGTGTGTCCACATGTGTGTGTGTGAGTGTCCACATGTGTGTCTGTGTGTGTGTCCACATGTGTGTCTGTGTGTGTGTCCACATGTGTGTCTGTGTGTGTGTCCACATGTGTGTCTGTGTGTGTGTCCACATGTGTGTCTGTGTGTGTGTCCACATGTGTGTCTGTGTGTGTGTCCACATGTGTGTCTGTGTGTGTGTCCACATGTGTGTCTGTGTGTGTGTCCACATGTGTGTCTGTGTGTGTGTCCACATGTGTGTCTGTGTGTGTGTCCACATGTGTGTCTGTGTGTGTGTCCACATGTGTGTCTGTGTGTGTGTCCACATGTGTGTGTATGTGTCCACATGTGTTTGTGTGTGTGTGTGTGTGTGTGTGTCCACATGTGTCTGTATGTGTCCACATGTGTGCGTATGTGTGTCCACACGTGTGAGTGTTTGTCCACATGTGTGTGTGTGTGTGTGTCTACATGTGTGTGTATGTGTGTGTGTGTGTGTGTGTGTGTGTCCACATGTGTGTGAATGTGTCCACAAGTGTGCGTATGTGTGTCCACATGTGTGAGTGTTTGTCCACATGTGTGTGTGTGAGTGTCCACATGTGTGTCTGTGTGTGTGTCCACATGTGTGTCTGTGTGTGTGTCCACATGTGTGTCTGTGTGTGTGTCCACATGTGTGTCTGTGTGTGTGTCCACATGTGTGTCTGTGTGTGTGTCCACATGTGTGTCTGTGTGTGTGTCCACATGTGTGTCTGTGTGTGTGTCCACATGTGTGTCTGTGTGTGTGTCCACATGTGTGTGTATGTGTCCACATGTGTTTGTGTGTGTGTGTGTGTGTGTGTGTGTCCACATGTGTCTGTATGTGTCCACATGTGTGCGTATGTGTGTCCACACGTGTGAGTGTTTGTCCACATGTGTGTGTGTGTGTGTGTCTACATGTGTGTGTATGTGTGTGTGTGTGTGTGTGTGTGTCCACATGTGTGTGTGTGTGTGTCCACATGTGTGTGTGTGTGTGTCTGTGTGTGTGTGTGTGTGTGTCCACATGTGTGTGTGTGTGTCCTCATGTGTGTGTGTGTGTGTCCACATGTGTGTGTGTGTGTGTCCACATGTGTGTGTGTGTGTGTCCACATGTGTGTGTGTGTGTGTCCACATGTGTGTGTGTGTGTGTCCACATGTGTGTGTACGTGTGGGTGCATTGTTGAGTAAGTCCCTGTAGCAAGACTGTCTCATCACATTCTGCAAACAAGACTTGCTGCCCCGGTTTCGAAACATTTCCCTGGACCCCAAACCCTAGACCCAGTTTTGAGGCGCCTCGAAACCATTTCCCTAGACCCCAACTAAACCCTGGACCAAGTTTTGAAACGCCACAAAACCATTTCCCTAGACCCCAAACCCTGGACCAAGTTTTGAAACGCCACAAGACCATTTCCCTAGACCCCAAACCCTAGACCCATCGCTCACCTCAATGAACGTCTGAGCCACTTCCACCACTTTGCTGACCAGCTCCCTCTGTGCTGCCATGTACGAATCGGTGAGTGCCACGTGGCGCTCGCTCAGCCTCCTCAGCTTCGCATTAGTGAACTTAACTCCGTCCTTCCTCGTCTCTAGAGTCACATACGACGCATTAAGCTTCTTTCTCACATTCGTCTCCTCCTTCTTTGTTATCCTGTAGCAGTACCCCGCCTGCGCCGTCTTATCTAATTTAATCGTTTTATCCACTATAAGGCCTAAATCGTTTGCTGCTTGCTGTAACGCTTTCTGCACTTCGGCTTCTACAACCTCCCTCTCCTCTTTAATCTCCCGAGACTCGGATCGTAACCAGGTGCTATTAAGTACTCGCCGTTCGTTTGCAGGGCCTCCAAATCTACTGCTGCTTCCACTAGACCTTCGTACTTAGCTAAGTGCTCCGATCCGCACCAATCGAGCAGGCTCGCGCCGAACCTCTCGTGCAGCATCGGGCGGAACGAGCCTCCGTGGGTTTCAAGCACCTCTCGGATGAAAGGAAGGCGGATGCTGGCCTGTAAGGGGGGAGGGGAGGATGGGGGGACGGGAGGGTGGGGGGGCGGGAGGAGGCGGAACGGGTTGTGGGCTATAAGAGGCAAGGCAACTAAAACAGGAAAGGAAGGCAGTGGTGTAGACGTGAGGGAACAGAGGAGAGCAAGGCAAAAGGATGAGATAACGAGGCCCTATGCTGGGAGAGAGGCATCGTTTTTAGAGAATCGCGAAGCATAAGGATATGGTTTTGAGAAAGACGTGAAGCCCAGGGCTCACCTGGTACAGCTTAACCACGTCCTGCTGACCAGCCTGCTACAGCCGCTACATCCCCTCACCTGGTACAGCTTAACCACGTCCTGCAGCCCAGCCCGTCTCATCTCCAGCCGTCTCGTGAGCCGCTCTATGTCCGGCATGCGCCTCAGGTGCCCCCGCACCTCCTGCCTCATACCCGCACTCTCCACAAACGCCTGCACCACATCCAACCTGAACTTAATCTCCTCTTCGTCCACCAGCGGCTGCTTCAACCACCGGTTTAACAGCCGCTTCCCCATGCCTGCCGTGCACGTCCGGTTCATAAGCCCATTAACGAAAAGTTTCTATTTCCGTCCGTTTTGGATTCGGTCACGTTTAGCGCGCGGAGAGCGGTGGCGTCTAGGCGCATGTGCGTGTGGAGGCTGTAGGGGAGGAGGGTGTAGCGGCCGTAGTTACTATCGTCTGCTAACAGGTCAGTGTAAGCGAGTACAGCCGCCATAGCCGCACCGGCTATCTCAGACTCAACAGAAACCTTTTGGCTTCCTCCCCCCCTAAGCCTCCTCTTGCTGTTGCCCCCCTATCGATCCGCCACCATTCCCCTTCTCCCGCCACCCGCCTCCCCTGCAGTCGCGCCCGCGCATCTCCCCCCGCCTTACCCGCCGTTCTTAGGAGCCTGCCTAAGTCCTGCTCTATGTCGCGCGGTTTAAACTCCGCCCGCTTCTTTTCGACTATCAGCACGTTGCATCGCGTCATTACGTCTCTTAATCTCCGCGCCTCGGGCGACTTACCCCCCTTCTTCTCCGCCCCCCTCCCCCTCCCCTCCGCTTCCGCCGCCCCCCTCCTGCGGGACCACGCACTCGCGACAGCTCAGCGCCACGAGGGCCGATTCCAGACACGTGTACTGCTCGTCGTCCAGGAAATCCGTCATTCCCAGGGCGCGCTTCGTCAGATCCACAAACGCCAGCCCCACGCGCCGCTCGCCGTCCTTCGCGGCCGCGGCGACGATCACGGCGCACACCGTCGGCGAGTCGCCCATGTCCCGCGTCGCGAACAGCACGTCCTCGAAGGCAGTCAGCCGCCCCGGCGTGGCGGCCCGCGCGAGCCGCCAGTTGGCGCCGCTGCCCTCGTAAAGCTCCACCGTCGAATACCCACCCCCGCCGCCACCTGTGCTGGAACCGCCGCCATCTCCGCCACCCTCCCCGCCATTGCCCCCCGCTCCGCTTCCGCCCGTTGCGCCCATTGCGCCGGCTCCCCCTTCCTCCAGGAGCAGGTGGCGGAGGATGGACTCGAACATACTGCGGTTGACGCTCACGCTGGGTAGCGCAGCGGCATCGCTGGCGGAAGCGGCGGAAGAGCCCGCGCTGGCTCCGCCCGCGGAGAGGTAGCGCAGGGCGGAGAGCGTCTTGTAGAAGACGCGCGCGACGAAGAGTGCGGCGGGGCCGTGCACCGTGTAGTAGTCGCGGCGGTCGAAGAAGCGGATGGTTTGAGGCGCCTGGGCAGAGAGAAAAGGGGAAGATGGTTGAAAGGTGGGCGAAACGGAAAAGGTAAGGGGGTTGAGGGGCCGTGCACGGTGTTGAGTTGGGAGTCTATTTTTGAGGCGCCTCAAAAATAGACTCCTCACGCTGGGAAGAGAGAAACGGGGAAGATGGTTGAAAGGTGGGGGGAAAGGAAAGGAACGGGGGTTGAGGGGCCGTGCATGGTGTTGGGGGCGCCGCGGTCGCAGAAGCGGATTATTTTGAGGCGCCTGGGAATGGTGAGGGGGGTGGGGAGAGGAGGGGGGTGGGGAGAGGAGGGGGGTGGGAGAGGAGGGGGGTGGGGAGAGGAGGGGGGTGGGGAGAGGAGGGGGGTGGGGAGAGGAGGGGGGTGCGAGGGTGGTTCAGGGGCCGTGCGCGGTGGAGCAGTCGCGGCGGTCGGAGAAACGGATGGCGTGAGGCGCCTGGGAGTGGCAATGGGAGGTTAGGCCGAGGGGAATGGCGTGAGGGTGAGGGTGGAATGCAGAGGGGAATGGGGAGAGGTGAGGGTTGAGGGGCCGTGCACCGTGTAGTAGTCGCGGCGGTCGGAGAAACGGATGGCGTGAGGCGCCTGGGAGGGGAGTGGACTACGTCTGTGACCCTTGCGTCTGTGCGTCTGTGTTAGTGTCTGGACTAGTGTTCTGTGTTAGTGTGTCTGCCCTTGTCTGCTTGTGCCTGTCAAGGATATGCCTACATCTACGCACGCTAATGTTCCCGCATATGTCGTCTGACTCCCCTGACGATAAGCAGGAGAAGAAGGAGCAGACGCTCGTACCGGCGGAAGGGACTGGAAGAAGTCTATTTTTGAGGAGCCTAAAAACAGACTCCCCTGACTATACACAGGCTCGTACCGGCGGGAGCGAGCGGAAGAAGGAGAGGAACCCTTGGGCTTGCCGCGCGTCTGTGGACGGGGTTCGGAATGGGGGGACGAGAGGACGCGGGAGAGGTATAAGAATGATGATTCTTTTTCCGACAAGATGCAAAGGAGCATCTCCATGCCTCCTTCCACGCACACAAGACCGCGACGGAATCAGCAGGTGTTAGGAGTCTATTTTTGAGGCGCCTCAAAAACAAGACCGCGACGGAATCAGCAGGTGTTGACCTGAAGCGCAAAAGGGTTGCATCTACTAGACCGATAAGGCCAAGACTATGTCGTTTAGACCGAAACGGCCAAGTCTCTGTCGCTTAGACCGAAAAGGCCTGGCACACACCGAGTTTGAGCTCAGGCAGCTTCGCATCTCCGCCGTCCGTCTGCATCGCGTCGGCCATTTTGGACTGGATGTTCTCGTTCAACCGAGTTACCACTAATCGAACGGGTTACCAACGCTCGGTCTGACGTTGTGCTGATGAAACCAAGGCTGGTCACAAGCCAGACGAGCTAAGGACGTTAAAAAGACTGAGGAGCAGATGGAGCTGAGGACACCAGCACGGCAACAAAGTATGCGAGAAGGAAAGCAGTCGCGGTAGAACGAAGGGTAATAATGAAGGAAAGCGAATGATGGTTGAGGGATGGAATCAAGAGCGTGAGAATGACGATGATGAGGAAATGAGGGGGGAGGAAGGGTGGTTCAGTTTCTGGTGGCAGCGGGCGGAGGTGAATGAAAGCGGGAAACATTCAAACTCCGAAAACAAGTGATTCGCTGTGATGAGTCCGCTTTCCACTAAGAGTTCATTTCTATCCCTCACACAGTCGTTGTACATAGACCGACTTACCCTAATAAAACAAAACATTTCGGTATTTAGCCTATTAAGGCAAAAAAATCCCGATTTACATCTATATTTTTCACTATCCTTATTGTAATTATATGCCCAAGACGATCAATTAGAAATAGACGAGCCAGTAATCATCAAGTATATGTACGATAGTGATTTTTGTCTTGAACAGAACGGTACATCTATAGCGAGGACTAGATGTCTCGAACATGAGGCTCCGTTACGGGGTCAGAGGTTGTATGCTTGGTTTCAGAACGTTTCAGTACGCTAGGCAGAGGTTGGTTTGGAACTTCCACAACCTCACCATTGGTGCTGCTGTCACAATTATTGTTGGGCATCGCTGTAGAGTGTTGTTTCCAGTAGCAGCAGCACCACAAGCAGCAGCCACAGGGAATCTGTTCACCACACCACTCCTGCTGCTTTGCTCCTCTACAGAGCCACCGCAACACCTGCCGCCCGCATATTGCCTCCCAATAGTCATCACAATTTTAGTGCTGTACTGGCGTATACGTTACTAAGATTTCGGAATCGAGTCCATCTCAAGCAACCCGCGCTGTGCGCACGGCCCAGTGTCGCAATTATCGGTGCACCAGCAGTTCGACTCACTATTCTTACGACGTTCGCAATTATTTGAGGCGGATCAGGATCTGGGTGGAATGGCGAGTGAGATGCAGGCTCGGACGAGTCGGGCCGGCTCGGGCCGCATCACCGTCACTCCGTCTAAGCCTCCCGGGAGCCCCCCGATCGGAGTCACTCCGTCTGAGCCTCTTCCACCAGCCTTGAACTTGCCGCGGCGCGCCCATCTGGTTGTTCCATCCGAGGCTCTCGAATGAGCTATAAAGCAGGGTCACTCTAGCGATAAGCAAATAATTCCGGGTGATTCGATTTTCTATCTTCAGCCTACTACTACTTCCTTCTCCAATCAGATCTCCGAACCGTCTCCGCCTTCAAAATCATGGCCTTCACTCCAGCTCGCGTCTTAGTCTTAGGTAAGCGTCAACAATAACGGCAGTATTGGACTCATAGGTCTTCCAATCGATTCTCACAAGCCAACTGCTTGGTGGCCAATCCCCCATGTGCTTCATGGCGACAAACTATCACGTTATTGTGACGACATAGAAATCCGTACATGGACTCGATCCGTCGCATGTGTTGTGTGCAGCGGCATTCCTGGCGGCGATGCTCGCAATCGCCTTCGCCGATCACGAGGAAGTCGGTCAGTTCCCGTTGTTCCCTTGCTCCCTTCGTTCCCACATTTTTCATTCCCTTGGTCGGATCATGTACCGCCTTCCTCTTCCATCTTTCTTCTCTCTTCGCACCACCTCATCTCCTCACTCCAACCCTCTATTCCTCCTCATCTCCTCATACATCTCCCTCATACATCTCCCTCATACATCTCCCTCATACATCTCCCTCATACATCTCCCTCATACATCTCCCTCATACATCTCCCTCATACATCTCCCTCATACATCTCCCTCATACATCTCCCTCATACATCTCCCTCATACATCTCCTCATACATCTCCTCATACTTCCTCATCCCCCTCATACATCCCCCTCGCGCTCGACTCAACAGACACCTACTCGGCCAAGCTGCTGGGAGCCAACGAGGTTCCCAAGAATGACTCCCAAGCTGCTAGGAACGCCGTCGGCGACCAACGCGGCGTGGTGTACATGAAGCTGCGCATCTACAAGTGAGTAGCATCACCCATTCCTACACCACAATATATTTGACCTTACTTGTACATGCGCAGTGGCGGTGTGGTGGTACATGAAACTGAAGATCTTCAAGTAAGCAGTACTACGAGTAGTAACGCCATCTGTTACCTCACCGCAACCCTCAACACCTCGAAATATGTGTTTTCGTATTTCCCCTTTCCCTTCCGACCGTGTCGTTCAAAGTCCACGGCTTTCCTCGTGCGCTGCAGCACTAATTTCACTCCCTCCGTCTCTATTTTCCACGAAAACCCCTGGCTCGGTCCGGCCAGGGAGGACGGCAAGGCCAAGTGGGTCAAGTACACGGTGAAGGCGAGCCGGCTGAAGGGCGAGATGCCACCGATCAAGACGCACGTGCACCCAGGGAGGAAGGGCGAGAACAACCCCGTGCTGCTGGACCTGCCATGCACCTACGAGAAGAAGGGCGCCGAGGAGTGGCGCTGCGAGGGCGCGCTCGGGAAGGACAAAAAGGATCGCTCCGACTCGCTGCTGTCGGCGCTCAAGGCCATCTCCAAGGACCCCAGCGCGCACTATGGGAATATCCACACGAAGAGGTACCCTGATGGCGCCGTGCGCGGACAGTTCTCTAAGGAGTAGGAAAGGAAGCTAGAAAGCTGCTTTTGCTAAGGGGAGCTGTCTAGAATGCTCAGCAAGCAAGGGAATAAAGAGCAGTTGGTATAACGGGGGTATCGGTAGAGTGGCGAATTGGCAGCCAATAGCGTGTTTCGCTTTGTTCGGTGTTGGTGCATCCTATAATGAAATTCGTTTTGATGACGAACACCTTCAGTCCTGCGATTCTTACCAATGGCGTGGTCTGTCCGCAATGGTTATACATGTCCGAAAGAGAACAAAACGGCATCCAGCCAGCCATTTCGATAAGCACGCATAGGCTGAAGCTGAAGGGAGGAAAAGTGTAGTGAAGACGACATTTCGAAAATAACGAAGCACACTAAACGGGAGCTTTGTTTGTCGGGCAAGCAGATCATTCCCAGATTCCTGATCATCTGCGCCTCGGCAGCGCCCTATCGAGATTCGGGTCGCTAGTGGCTCGTCCCCATCGCTTCGTCTCCGTCTCGCCCCCACGCTGTCGCCTGTATCCTAGGGTAGAGGGAGCACCTAAGAGCTCCCGCTCAGGCTTCGCACCGCACTGGGGGCCCACCTTGACCATCCCAGAAACCCGTCTCTCGCGCCTCCCTCCACGTGCCATCCACGTGCCATTCTCGTGACATTCACGTGTCATCTACGCCGCATTCGCGTGCCGCATCCACGGTCCCCTGCTCCCGAGCCCCACTGCCTGTTCGATACTACCCGCATCCGAAAAAACTGCTGAAACCCATTGCTGTACCCCTTATTTTGTCATGCCTCGTTATAGTCACTTGGTAGCACCAACCGCGTGAGCTTCGGATAGGCCGTACGCCCGCCTCGATAACGTCGCTCCTTATATCGCAGCAATACTCGTTGGAACAACGAGCCTTACAAGACTTCCCTTCAGTATCACCCTTGCGAGGTCGCATCGTTAACCTTCCCCGGATGTCGCCTGCGACTAGCTTTCTGCGACAAGCAGCGCGCTCCGTACTCGCCCGGCCGGCCAATGCCACGTCAGCAGCAGCCACGTCAGCGTTGCGTGGCATCGCGACCGCCACTGGGATGGCTCCGGGCAGCAGTCTGGGCGCAGGGGGGGAGGCGGGAGGCGCGGAACCTGCGACAGCTGTAGCTTCCCAGCCGTTGGCGGAAGGGGAAAAGTTCAAGGTGAGGGGAGGGGGAAGCGAGGAGGGGAAGCGGGAAAGGGAGGAGGGGGGGGGGAAGAGGGGAGGGGAAGAGGAGGGAGGGGGGAGGGAAAGAGGGGAAGGACTGCGGGGGAAGGGCCCTCGCTCGCCACAATGTTCAAACTTACACAGGCAAGGTGTGCTGTCGCTTCTGTTTCTCTGTCCTTCGCCCCTCCCCTGCGTGCCCTACCTTTGCATTGTAAAAATTGTTAGCATAGCTCCTTTCCAGATCCTTGCTCACCTATCATTCTTATCTTTGCTGTCTCCTTGTACCCGTTAAAAGGTGCTTCTCTGTGGCGACGAGTTCCCCAAGACTTGGGCCTACTCAGCCGAGCTGCTACACCAAGATCTGCTGTCTCGTTGCTACTCTTCTCTAAAACCCCTGTACGCACACACCCCTTCCTTGTACCCTTTATAAGGTGCTCTTCTGTGGCGATGAGTTCCCCGAAGCCTACACCTACTCAGCCGAGCTGCTACACCAAGAGCCCAACATGGAAGTTTCCTGGCACCCGCGTGGCGAGATCCCTCGGCGAATCAGAGACTGCCACGTCGTCGTGCCGCGGATGACCCGCCTGGACGCGGGAACCATCGCAGAAGCTTCCAAGCTGCAGCTGATAGTGCAGTTTGGGGTGGGTTTGGAGGGGGTTGACGTGGCAGCAGCAACGGAGAGGGGGATCAGAGTGGGGAGAATACCGAGTGCTGACACGGGCAATGCTGTGTCCTGCGCCGAGCATGCCATATACCTCGCCCTGGCACTTCTAAGGAAGCAGGTACGTCCTCTGTGTTGTGATGGGCGTACTTGTTGTGCTGAGAGAGTGCAGTTTGGGGTGGGGTGGTTCGAGGGGGTTGACGTGGCAGCAGCAACGGAGAGGGGGATTCGAGTGGAGCGAATACCCAGTGCAGACACGGGCAATGCTGTGTCCTGTGCAGAGCATGCCATCTACCTCGCGTTGGCGCTGCTAAGGAAGCAGCTTTTGAGGCGCCTCAAAACTCGCGTTGGCGCTGCTAAGAAAGCAGCTTTTGAGGCGCCTCAAAACTCGCGTTGAAGCTGCTAAGGAAGCAGGTGAGTCACAAGCAGCGGCAATTGAGAGAGGGGGATTAGAGAGGGGCGGATACCGAGTCTAGTTTTGAGGCTCTTGTGCGGAGCATGCCATCTCTTGTGCGGAGCATGCCATCTCTTGTGCGGAGCATGCCATCTACCTCGCCTTGGCGCCTTTGAGAAAGCAGGTACGTGGTGTGATGGGTCTATCATCCTCCCCCCCCCCCCCCACACCGGCCCCCCTCCCACCCCTATCACCTCTCCCATCATCCCCATCACAGAAAGTAGTGCAGGAGCCCGTCCAGCAGTGGCGGCTTGGGGATCGGGGACCCATCTCTAATATCCTTGTTATTTTGCCCCATCTAATGGCCCATTTTAAATGGCCTCGTTCTTTTGCCCCCCCCCCCCCTCTTTTCGCCTGCATGCCCCATTCCCGCCCTGCCTATCGCCCCCTCATCCCCATCACAGAAGAGAATGCACGAGTCCGTCCTTCAGCAGCAGCGCCTGGGACAACCCCTCCTTAAATGGCCTTATTCGTTTGCCCTCCCTTTATTCCTCCCTCCTCCCGTCCCCCTGTCGACTATCCTCCTCATCGCAGAAGGGAATGCAGGAGTCGTCCAGCAGCAGCGGCTGGGCCAGCCCATCGGGCAAACCATCTTTGGCAAGTCGGTGGGTTCTGGGTCTGGGATTCGGTCTGGGTTTGTGTCTGGGGTGACTTTCGATGCAAAAGCAAACCATCTTTGGCAAGTCGGTGGGTTCTGGGTCCGAGTTCCGGTCTGGGTTTGTGTGTGGCCCTGGGACTTGAACTTGGGTTCTGGTTCTTGGTTTGGATTCGGGGTCTTGGTTTTGGTTCGGGGCCTTGGTTTGGGTTTGGGGTCTTGGCTTGGGTTCGGGGTCTTGGTTTTGGTTCGGGGGCTTGGTTTGGGTTTGGGGTCTTGGCTGGGTTCGGGGTCTTGGTTTGGGTTCGGGGGCTTGGTTTGGGTTTGGGGTCTTGGCTTGGGTTCGGGGTCTTGGTTTGGGTTCGGGGTCTTGGTTTGGGTTCGGGGTCTTGGTTTGGGTTCGGGGTCTTGGTTTGGGTTCGGGGTCTTGGTTTGGGTTCGGGGTCTTGGTTTGGGCTCGGGGTCTTGTTTTGGGTTCAGGGTCTTGGTTTGGATTCGGGGTCTTGGTTTGGGTTCGGGGTCTTGGCTTGAGTTCGGGGTGGTTTGGGTTCGGGGTCTTGGTTTGGGTTCGGGGTCTTGGTTTGGATTCGGGGTCTTGGTTTGGGTTCGGGGCCTCGATTTGGGTTCGGGGTCTTGGTTTGGGTTTGGGATCTTGGTCTGGTTTTGCTCTGGATCTTCGAATGATGCTTGGGAGCTCGGCCTTTATATAATGGGCTGTGGACTAAAGGCTGGTGATGTATGCAGGGTGAGGTTTGATTCCAATTGACTTTTCAGTCGACTCAAAATGCTTTTCATAATGGGCCGTGGACTAAAGGCTGATTATGCATACATGGTGAGGTTTGATTCCAGTTGTTTTTTGTAATTCTCAAAAGCACCATGCAAAATCAGCGTGACGTTTGATCCAAGAGTTGGGGTTATGCAGGGTGGTGGTGGGTTTGTTGACTTAAAGCCCACCTGTCTTCACTCTTACTTTTGATTCGACTCCAAAATAGGCTTATAGCACCCAACCACCTATCTTCACGCTTATATGGTCACTCTTACTGGAGAGGCAAAAGTATGCACACGTGACTATATAGGATTGCTTCTGTTTACTCTCGAGGTTCAATACACCTTAGAATATAACGCAGAGAGCAAGAGCAGCATGTGATTTTTTAATGTCAAATCTAACGTCAAATGCCATAGGGATCACCTCTGCTTCAAATTGTCTCCTTGCCTCCCTTCCCCTTCCAGGTGCTAATGGTGAGCTACGGGGCGGAATAAGGAAGGCACTTGCTGCAGGATTGGGGCCCATGCAAGAACCAACGGCCTTCTCCCCCATTGCGGAACCGGGAAGGGGGCCTTCCCCTCCTCTCACTGCTCTCCCCCCTTCCAGGCGCTAATAGTGGGCTACGGTGGGATTGGAAAGGCACTTGCTGCAAGGCTGCGGGCGTTCGGAGTGACGTGGATGGGGGAGTGAGAAAGGGTTGGGCGGGCGCTCACGGAGGAAAGGCGAAGGCAAGGACGAGCCAGGTGGGTGATGTGTGAGCTGGCTTAGGTAAGGGAATGTACGGATGCTTGGAGTGGCGTGGATGGGGGGAGTGAGAAAGGGATGGGCGGGCGTGCATGGGAGGAAAGGCGAAGGCAAGGACCAGCCAGGTGGGTGTGTTGCGTGCAGCGTGTGCCATGTGCAGCCTGTGCCACGTGCAGCGTGTGCCATGTGCAGCGTGTGTTGGGTGGTATGGGAAAGAGGAGCGAGTGGGCAAGTGCTAGGGAGAGCTGGGCGAGTGGGCGATCACACAGGACAGAAGTTTGGGGTGACTTTTGATTCGACTCA